AATAATAATCAATGCATCTTAAAAATTTTTAGCCTGAAAAAAATCCTAGTATTTCTATTTAATTTAAGTAATAACAGAAAAGTCCTATACCAGTTTTTGTTTTCTTTTAACACAGAGCAACTCAAATTTAGAAACGCATGTCCCAATTTTTTTAATTTGCTTTTTTGACAATACGCCAACAGCCTTCTCTCGTGATTTAGTATTTTTCTTTGTTTCTGTTTCCGGCTCGGTTTAGATCCGAAGGGGTGCCGGCGAGGCTACTACGCGTCGGAGCTGTATCAGGCGCAGTTCACCTGCCCAAAATGCGGCAACGGCTACGCCAGGCCACACTCGCTGAGCAGGCACATCCGATTCGAGTGCGGCGTCGACCCCAAGTTCGAGTGTCCCATCTGCCACAAGAAGTCAAAGCACAAGCACAACCTCATGCTCCATATGAGGACGCACATTAACCGGTGAGGCCCTGACCTACTGCCGACCATTAGACTGATCATTAAAAAAATATCGATTAAAGTGGAAATTTTTTTAAAAGGATTCAAAGGGTAAAAGTTTTTTCTATTTATTTATTTTTACCCGACATTCGCGTTTATCGATTTGTTTTTCCTTTGTATGAAGATGTTTGAGATCATTAAAACAGTTAAAAGTCAATGCATCGATAAATACATGTTTTTTTTTAACATGAATCAAGTGCCTTTTTTCATGTATCTTTAAGTAAAAGGCCAATATTTATCTAAGTTATATGTTCCATTTTTAATTCATTCCAAACATCTTCTATAGTCAGAATTTCAAAAACTTGAACGACAATAAGAAAGTTTTTATAAAAAGTACTTAAATTTAAAAAACCAAACATGTTAACTATTGTAAATAAATTTAAAAAAAAATCTGTTACCTATGAATTGCTTGATTTCTGTTGCACTAATGAAGAAAGAGCTTTTTCTTTTTTGTTTTTGTTTGTTAAATGTTTTCAGTCAGACTAATTTTTTTTAAAATAGAATTTACTAAGAAATATCTAATAAAAGTGTAAAAGAAGTGAAAAATGTAAACAGAATATAGCTGTGATGTTAGATTAGATTATTAGTTTTACCAAAAAAATAAGTAAAATATATTGTTTCGTTTTACTAGTCCTTGTTTAATCTTTGTTTGTTTGTACTAAGTAATTAATATGTTTAACGACAAGAATAGCAATATACCTCTTAATAAAAATTATATAAATAAATTTATATATTTAAAAAATGAAATAAAAGGAAAACTACCTCTTTACTAATGGTTTAAAGTTACCTCTAAGATTATCAACACTGTAGGATGAAAAATTTGTCACTGTTTTATTCTTTTTTTTGTAGGGATTAAATTCAGACGTGCGATTTGACTAAAAAACGTTTTAGTCCTTTACACATCGAATCTCTCAGTTTCAAAGTGATCTCATGAAAATAGATGACTTTCGTTCGTTCCTAATCATTCTATTTATAATGCGCCAAATTTTCGCAATAAAAAAAAGCCTGTTAGAATTATGTCAATTTTAAGAATTAAAAGAGGCAAAAGCATTTCAGTTGAAAGAAAAATTTCTATTACTGGATATTTTACTATCCAATAATAATATTTTTTCTTTCCTTTCTTGATAAACTTGATAAAAATAAAACAGTGATGAAGCCATTTTTATTATATATAAAAAATAAAATCATTTTGTCCTTTGATCATTAAGACCATGACATTTATGAGCAAATTTGTGAAGTATAAAATTTATGTTGTGTAATGAAATAAAGTTGGTGAAAGAGAATTGTTGTGTCCTTAAAGTGCTCTTAAAAAATGTTTAACTGTTATAATATATTTTATAAAGGAAAAAAACCGTTATGTTATTGCTTTTAAATTTATTTTGAATGTTTTACCCATTTAGAGAATGTACATAAGTATATATTAAAAAAAGGAAAATAAAATGAATTTGTTTTAATTGTTTTTATTTCAATTAATTATCATGTTTTTAAACCATAGAAAACTCTTAGTTAAAAAAGAAATTGCATTTGTTTAACATACTTGCTTTTTTTTCAGGTGTGAAATCCGAGTATGTATGCCAAAACTGCAGTCGTTTGTATTTAACGGCTGGCTCTTTGAAGAGGCATATTCGCTACGAATGCGGCGTGGCGCCAAGGTTCAAGTGCGCCCATTGCCAAAAATATTTCAAACACCATTTTCACCTGAAAAACCACATAATAATCCAACACACTGTCATATCTAACGTATAGCAAGACAACGATGTAACTCCTCGTTTCTTTTCTGCCCTATGATTACAGGCTTCGTGTGCAACTTGTGCGGCCGACAGTACATGAATAAAACGTCGCTGCGACGCCACAGCCGGCTCGAGTGCGGCGTCAGCCCGAGATTTTCCTGTAATGTCTGTCAAAAAAAGTTCAAACACAAGCATCATCTACAACAACACATGGCGATACACTATTGCTGATTATTTCTGAACAAATTCTTTACCTTTCTTTTAATCTGTAATTTAATTTGTTGATTTTTTTTATAATACAATAAAATTTTATTTTTTATTCTCAATTGAGAAAAATTTAAACTATAAAAAGTTAACCATTCTCCACTCATTAGAAAGAACTTCATCATTTTCTTCCTATTTATAATTCATATTTATATCTAAATAAATGATAATTCATGATTATGGTTCTTTTTTTCATTCCACACCTGGACTCAAAAGATTCTAAAAATTGTTTTAATCTTTCATTTCCCTTTGGCCAAAAAATAATCATTTTCGATAAAAATCTTAGTCGTACAGGTAATGCTTTGAAATATTTTACTGCATATAATAAGAAACACTTGAATTTCAGGCGGTTTTCCTTTATCTGCATACCAATCAGACATTTCTGTATCGCGTGTGCCTATCGTCAATGTTATGTATTAATTTATGTACATAAAAGGGCAAAAAAATACTTTTTTTTAAGTGTGTTCATGCACAAATTGAAACAAATGTCAAAAAATTATTAGGGGCCTAAAAAGGAAAAACTCAACTATCGCTACGGTCTACTGTATTATAAATTGTTGAAGTTTTATGAACTGATTAAAGTGATAGGTAAAGCATACATGTGACTTGCAAAATCACAGTTAACAAGCACACAATGATCATACCTGATAAAAGTGAGGCATCATCAGTATAAATTATGATTGATTCTAATTTACAACTGATGAGAGGAGACTACAGATCGCCTATTGAAATATTGAACCCGTATACAAATATTTTTACCAATGGGCGAATAGCTAGAAGCTGAGACTTTTTTATTTTATTTTTTTAAATGTATGTTGCATTTGTTGTGCATGTGTTTTAGTTATTATATATCTGTAGGTTTGTTTGTGTGCTTAAAATAAACACAAAATATGTAACATTATTATGTAAATAAACAAAATATTATGTAGGATGGGATTAAATGTTATTAGATGTATGTAAAGTTACAAAATTCAAAAGAATTTCCTGTAAAATCACTGAAAGAATTTATTTTTGAAAAAACTGGTTTTAAACCCCTTTAAACAGCTCTTAAATATGAATTTTCAGTGCTCTCTTAGTAAAACGAACTAATTAATCACTGCAGGGGGTATTCGAATTATAGAGGATCTTTTTTTTTTCTCCAATGATATTTCAACTACGATATTATATGAACCTTTGGAATGCCAGTGTTTTTGAAAAAAAAAATCCCATTTGTAGGTATGTCAGTTGCGAACCCGGGATATCTCCTTCCAGTGATGAGCCGGGTCAAAACCGTAACCGTTACGGCCACCAAAACCCCCACAGAGGATGTTAAAAATATACATGCATAAACAAAAAAAAATTCAATGACACATTATTATTATTACTTACTCAAAACCTGTGGCCAATTTTTGTTTAGAAATTTTCTCTTTTTTCATTTCTTTAATAATTTCTTCATTGCTTCTTCCACTTTTTCTCCCATTTTTAAGCAGTAGGTATATATGTATATAGTGCTATACTTAACCCAAGAGAAATGTAGACTGATTATTAAGTTTAGATAAATTAATTAATGAATATTAATTTCACTTGTAGTAGTGAAGGAAATGAGGGATTTACTGAACAGAAGAAATTCTTGAAAAGTTGTATAGTTTAAGATGGTCATGGTCTTTTGTGAACTCTTCCTATCACTCACCTCTCTCTCTCTCTCATTCACTCACTCAATATCTCTTCCCTTCACTCACTCACTTTTTCATTCACTTACTTATTCTCCCTCTTTCACTCTCTCTTTCATTTACTCACCTGTTATCCCTCTCATTCACTCAACTCTGTCTTTCATTCACTCACTCAGTCTCTCTCTCTTTCATTCACTCACTCACTCTCTTTTTCATTCACTCACTCACTCTCTTTTTCATTCACTCACTCACTCTCTTTTTCATTCACTCACTCACTCTTTTTCATTCACTCTCACTCACTCTCTAAATCTTGCTCATTCATTCACTCCCCCCCAATAATGTTTCATTTGCTTCCTTTAAAATTCTGACATATTGAATTTTTTTTTTTGTAATTTGGATTACTGGAATGTTTGGAGAACTAAAATCCAGATTAGGGAGAGAAGACTATAAGCATGTGAGAGCCCCTTGTTATTTTATTAAATTAATATTTAATAAAAATAACAAATATAGCTTTATTTTTTTTCCAAAATTCCATATATTTCAGTGAATTATAGAGTATGTCTATAACACCCTACATGCAAATTATATTTACTGCCTCACAAAGTACGAAGCCTGAGGAAACCCGTCTGATCTACAGTCTAGACGTTAAGTACTCCAAGGACTTTGTAGTATCTTAGTATGATATTAAAAAATAAAATGAAATAGCTAGACATAGGGTAAAAGCATAAATAAAAAGATTGGAAAGGGTATTAGGGGCGATAAAGAAGATTTCACTTACAAATAGGTATTTTATTATTAATATCACTTATTTCAATGAAAATATGATTCAGGATAACAATTACTCTATGTTCCAACATAATTCACACATACAAGAGGGTAAATTAAAATATATAATTTAAGTACAAAATATAAATCACAATAGCTTTAGGTTATAGATTTTGTTGCCAATCTTACAAATATACGAAGTGATAGGGATTGTGAGATCGAGTGAGTCACTGACGTTCGCTTCGAATACTTTGTTCAGTTCGGGCAGTTTCGCTTCGAGTTCAGACTTTTTGTTTCCAAGGCACCACAAGATACTCATGTGAAACGATGCCTCCTATAAAGTTATTCAAAGACAATCAACAAAGAGGTTTATTATTTAAAAACAAACAATTTTTTTTTACATTGTAAAATGGATGCAGCTTATATTCACTTAGGCACTTGTCCAAAACCTGAACGGATTTGGTAATCTCCATCTTGCCGAAGCCGACCGCGAGGGCGAGGAAAGTCCGAGTGCCCTCTTCGTTGCAGTAAACCTTCAGATCGTCAAACTGAAGATCAAACCTGCAAATAATGATAAAAATCAATTTTTGACAATTTTTAAGCAATATTTATTTAAATATTACATGAACTTAAAATTTAGGTATAATTTAATGAAAATTGTGAAGATTTATATGTATTTTTAAATTTCTTAAGAAATCTAGATTGACATTACAATTAGACCAAAATGGCTTTTGTTTACTCTAGTCAATTAAATTACTATTATAGGTGTAAAGTTTTATTCTTACCAAAACCACTTTAGTGCTTGACCACATCTGGGCCTCCTGTTCTGATTTTTGGAGGATACATGGTCGTTTTATTACATATTTTAGTTTTGTTTCCCTAGTGTATGTTGAGATTGAATGTATTTATTAGCATGAATATGTAGTGTGAGAGGGCTGAGAAAGTGGGAGGAATTAATTGAGCGCGAAATAAGAATGAAGGTAAAGGAAGGAGAGGGGAATAAAATTAAATGTGAAAAAGGAAAAAATAAATTAACGGATGTTGGGTTTGAACCGAGACCCAAGGTCACAGGTGCAATCAAAACCAGAGCCAAATTATCCAGGCTCAAGTCCAGACCAGCAGGAAAACAATAATAATAATGGGGCTAGTGTCTCACCTAGCAATCAAGGTGGTCCTCATTCAGCTGTTTATAAACTTTTATTATTCAGTAACAATTCTCCTTTTTACTCTGGATGAATCCTGAGTGAAAAATATATTATTCATACGTCTTAAGGTCCAGGGAGGATGGATTTTCAAGTATTTGGTGTGCCACAAACCAAGGGATTGACCTTCCATGCTCTCCACCAATGACTGAAGATCTTGATCCTACACAGAAGAAATTTTGGAGCTAGTTTCTGTGTAGTACCGACTCTCGTCAGATAGCTCCATGTTTTTTCTTCCACACAATACCACCAGCATAAATGTTCATTTGACATCTCAAATTGTAACTTCGCTCTTTCATACGCTTTATTAAGGCGATCTTGAACTTCTCATAACTTCTCTCTCAGATATCAGAAGCATCTTGTTTAGCAGGTTGACATAATCTTCTCTTGAAGTAATTGGAAAACCATCTCTGTCACTATCTTCTCCATAATCCTTCCCATTTCTTTTAAGTTCCCTCCCGAAATTCAAGAATCGGAAGTAACAGCAGTAGCTACATGTAGTGCTGTTTGAACAGTTTAACTAAACTTAGCTAAGTTAGCATCCTAACGACGGTCATTATCCTTAACACAGCAAAAAATTACTTGGAGTACCCAGTTAATTCTTAGATTTTAGTGGCTGTATACTAAATTGAGGCACCATATTCATTTATCATTGTCTGAAAGTGAACTCTTGCACCGTGTCCCATTGACGCAGTCTATTGACGTCTGAATTTCAGTAGAAATGTAAATAGGAAAGAAGTATTTAAGAGTGAGTGAGAGTGTGGATAGATCTAGATGTGTTGCTGAATTACAGCACCTAGGGCCCAACCTCGGTGGCCTCCATGCCAGACTACCATCACCCAAAGTGGGTGATTCTCGAGGACTTCCAGTAATTTATTGTACATTACAAAAGCTGGAGTGGAGCTATGGACTGTGAGAAGTGGCTCAACTCTACTTTGTGCATGTGCAGATTTGAGCTTAAATAATAATAATAATTAAAATAAAAAACAACATCATGAAGACTGCCGGTCATGCGTCCACACATCTACGCATGTCTCCCTTTACAAAGTACAAATTTCTCCTGCATTGTTCGACCAACATGAAGACAATTTTTGGGCTCAATGAATCTAAGAAGATAGATTTTGCTAGATAGATGAAGCTAAGAAGTGAGATTTTGCATTTACTTAAACTCGGCTGTTTGGATTAGAGGGGAATTGGGAATCTGTTCTTTGTGCATTTTGCATTCTTTTAAAACTGTATTCCATTTCTTGGCGTAGTGCTCATCCCTTGGGTGAGATTCGGTTATTGCATCTCGGATGTTTCACTCTCCTCAGAATTGACCTGTTACGGTTTTTGAGTGGCTCAAATTCGCAGCCCTTAATTCATTAAGCTAGCCATGGATTTACATATGAGTTAATTTTTGATTTGCATTATATAACCTGTTTTTCTTTTCTTTCAATTTATTTCCTAGGCTATTATTATTATCTTAAATCCATTATGTTCAGTGGTCTATCGACCAAATTATTTCTTACAATTAATTATTCTTTTTATGTAAGGCATGGTTGAAATGAAAAAGATAGTGTCACAAGCGGGATTCGAACCCATGACCTTCAGCTCAATACGCCGCTGCTCTTACCACTTCAGCTATTGTGACCTACCACCGAATCTTATTATCTTAATCCATTTACGTTTTAGTGATAAATTTACCAAGTCACTTCTTTCAATTCATTATTCGTTTTATATAAAATGGCAAAAAGAGTGAAAATTCAAATGGTTGTAGGTGAGATGGAGAGTTGGTGTCCGAGTGGATCAAAGTTACGATAGCTCAAGTGGTAGAGCAGCGGTGTATTGAGCCGAAGGTCATGGGTTCGAATCCCCCTCGTGACGCTAACTTTTTCATTTCAACCAAGACCTTACATGAAAAGAATACTTATTACTTTACTTTATTCTGTATTATTTTCTTTTCGGATTGTTTAATCAACGACCTCTGGCAGACAGATCCGAGATCCATGTCCATAAATTCTTTGAAAGCACAATTAGCATTTTTGAGTGGTGTTTAGTGACCGTTAGTCAATGATTATTCGGAGATCGTGAGATGCAGTCTGGTGTGAGGTATATTTTAGAAAAACATTTTATTTATTGTGCCCTGAAGATGATCTCAATAAAGGTCGAAACGTTGACACGATAAATAAAATGCTTTTCTAAAGCCTATGTCACACCAGACCGCATCTCATGATCTCCGAATAATCATTGTCATTTTTCTTATGTTTAATAAAGATAAATAATTGTAACTATTAATCTAAAATCCATAAATTCTTTCTCCATGATATACATTCATTTTTTTTTCTTTCAAATTTAGTAGAAAAAGTGTATTGAATGAGATGAAACAACCGTCAAGCCACAAATAATTTTCATCAATTGCCATAAAATTACTGTCAATGTTTTTTATCGTCTCTCATACCTCGAGAAGGTCTGGATCGAGCCTTTAACCGCCGAGACAAAGTTGTCTATCCAGTGGTACAGAAGAACAAACGTCCTCGTAAGGCTGATGTGCGGCTCCTCGACTCTTTTCAACTCGATCTCCGGCTCGCAGAACTCGATTATCTGGTCGCAGAGAAGATCAAAGGGAGGATTCCTTTGGTCTAGGAAGAAAAAAAACGAACTGTCATTGAATCGTAAAGAGATGATTACGTTAGCTTACAAGGTATGTATACGAGAGAATTCCAGTTGCCTCTTTGGTGTGGGTAACTCCTAACTCTGCCATCGTGCTTCTCTGGGTCGTCTTCGACTTCCTCTTTGGGAAAGACTCTCTTCAGCGAATTTGGCAACGGGAGTTTGCTTAAATTTGAAGAAAAAAGGGCTGATTAATTGGAAGAGAGTGGGTCGTCTGAGGCTCACCTGTGCTGTTCATCTGCTTCTGCTTCTGCTTCCGTGTCCTCCTCTGACATGTACCCCTTCAACAGGTTTAGCGATGACATCTCACTCACATCGAAACGCTTCCAAAGGTCTTCATTTCAGAAAGGGACATCTCACCATTTTGGCTTTGCCCCAACACAAAAGACAGACTGACAAACAAATAATATTGGTGGGGATGGAGGAAATGGATCTCCATACACCACATCGCCGCGCTTCCCGCATATTTTCGAAGTATAAATCGTTGATTTTTTTTTTATTTTTTCTTAATAATTCACTCCACGTGAAAATACATCCTTTATACGTCCACAGTGGAAAAAAAGCCTCACAACAACTTTGACTTATGCTACAGTGGAACAGTTCAATAATTTTATAAAGTAGAACCATGAATTTTTATCGACCAATTTATATAAATTTCACATATTCCTAATACAAGTTTTATAATTTCTTGGAAACATGGCCAACTTCCTCAATTCGATTACTAGCTTTTTTCCTTTTTGACCAAAAAAAAAAAAAAAAGGCTAATAATCTCCAATAACAATCCTAAAATATTTCATCCTGGAGTTCCTCAAGGCTCACTTTTTGGTCCTTTCTTGTTTAAACTTTTTGCCGATGAAATTTCTTATTGTTTTCTGCATGTTTATTTTCAATATTTTGCTGATGATCCCAAAATCTTTAACTTCATACATGATTCTTAACAAAATTCACCAAGATTGATCACTGGTGCCAAAAGTAATAAAATGTTCTTCAGTACGAGAAAATGTAAACATAGATACAATTTTTCTATTTGCTTGGTTAACATAACCAAATTTGTCAAGTTGGTTAGTACATTTTTTTCTCTGTTTTGATCAAAAGAAATAGTCCAAAAATCTCCAAAAATAATACAAAAAATATTTTGTCCTGGAGTTACTCGAGGCTCATTTCTTGGTCCTTTCTTGTTTAAACTTTTTATAAACAAAATTTCTTCTTGTTTTCCACGTATTAATTTTGCATTTTTTGCTGAAGATTACAAAATATTGAATTTCATAGATGATTCCTAACAAAATTCTCCAACATTGAACAATGATGCCAAAAATAATAAAATGTTCTTCAATATAAAGAAATGTACAAACTTAGTGGACCGTGTGTGAAAGATTTTGAAAAATAGAAACTGGTGGAACAGGTTTTTTTTTTTTTTTTTTTTTTTCCATCAGTTCATAGGCCAGAGCCACCGTCTGGTGAAACAGTCCAAAAATGTTTAAAGTAGAACCAAGAAATTATATTTCCCAATTTGTAAGCATGGTACATTGTACTATTGTGATTTAAGTTTTGTACAAATTTGCACTCAGGAATGTTAAAAAATGTTAAAAATTCCCATATGAAAAATGAAGTGGGCTGTATCTGAAGGCTTCCGAAAAATAAAAACTGGTGGAACAGTCCAAAATTTTTCGTGTAGAACCATGAAATTTTATTGACCAATTTACATAAACTTCATATCATCCTACATACAAGTTTTCTAATTGCTTGGTAAACATGGCCAACTTCCTCAATTCGATTACAAGTTTTTTTTTCTTTTTTGACCAAAAGAATCAGGCCAATAATCTCCAATAACAATCCCAAAAATATTTTATCCTGGAGTTCCTCAAGGCTCACTTTTTGGTCCTTTCTTGTTTAAACTTTTTATCGATGAAATTTCTTCTTTTCTGCTTATTCATTTTGAATATTTTGCTGATGATCCCAAAATCTTTAACTTCATAGATGATTCTTAACAAAATTTTCCAACATTGATCACTGGGGGCAAAATAATCAAATGTTCCTCAATATAATGTAATATAAACGTATTACATTCTACCATTGTGATTTAAGTTTTGTACAAATTTCCACTCAGGAATGTTAAAAAATTCCCATATGAAAAACGAAGTGGGCCGTATCTGAAGGCTTCCGAAAAATAAAAACTCGTGAAACAGTTCAAATGTTGTAAAATTGAATCATGAAATTTTATTGACCAATAACTTGTACGTCATTGTAATACAAGTTTTCTAATTGCTTCGTAAACATGGACAAATTTGTCAATTTGATTATTCAGCTTTTTCTTTTTCTTTTTTGACTAAAATAAATAGGAACATAATCTCCAATAACAATCTCAAAAATAATTTATCCTGGAGTTCTTCAAGGCTCACTTTTTGGTCCTTTCTTGTTTAAACTTTTTATAAACCAAATTTCTTCTTGTTTTCCACATATTAATTTAGCATTTTTTGCTGTTAATCACAATATCTTGAACTTCATAGATGATTCTTAACAATTACAACATAGATGATACATAACAATTAACAAAATTCACCAACATTGAACAACAGAGTCAAAAATAATAAAATGTTCCTCAATGTATGAAAAATGGTGGAACAGCTCAAAAATGTTTAATGTAAAACCATGAATTTATATTGCCCAATTTGTATAAATGCAAACCGTCTGAGATACAGTTTTTCTAATTGCTTCGTAAATATAGCCAAATGTTGATGCTTTTGCCCCCTTTTCTGATCAAAAGAAATAGTCCAATAATCTCCAATAACAATCCCAAAAATATTTTATCCTGGAGTTCCTAAAGGCTCATATTTTTGGGATTGTTATTGAAGATTATTGGCCTTTTCAACGAGAATGATCACTGGTGCCAAAAATAATAAAATGTTCTTCAATAGAAGGAAATGTAAACGTAGATACAATTTCTCTATTTGCTTGGTAAACATAGCCAAATTTGCCAAGTTTGTTAATTGATTTTTTTCCTCTGTTCTGACCAAAAGAAAGAGACCAAAAATCTCCAAAAACAATCCAAAAAATATTTCGTCCTGGAGTTCCTCAAGGCTCATTTCTTGGTCCTTTCTTGTTTAAACTTTTTATAAACAAAAGTTATTGCATAATAATTGAATATTTAGATATATTATAAAAAAATATACTATTTATTTTGTGAATGTTAAATTGAATACTATTAATAGTTTATTAATAGTTTTTATGAGTTATAAATATTTCTTTCTCTGTAGTTTATTTAATATAGGATTCAATGCCTTTTATAATGTACATAGTATGCATGCCAAGTTCTGAAGACAGATATCTCAAATGTTTATATGCTTTTTGTACAGATCATATTTGTACGTTTTTTTTTTTGAGGAAAAGAAATAAAAAGCATTTCTATTCTAAAAAAAAGTCGTACAATCTGGTAGTTGAAATATCCTCGTAAAAAATAAATAAAGGAGCGATTCCATTGCCAATGGAATACCGGAAGTTGATTCCGTTTGCAAGTACCAGTACCAATTTAAACTTTGGCATATTAATCTTTTGGTTGGATAAATTTAAAAATTACGACACCTCGAATATCGTTTTGACTTTATATTTGAGATGGTAAACGCTTCAAAAGTTCAAATGTAATAGTTTGCAAATCCTGAATTAGACTGGCATTACTGGCTTCCGGGTAAATTACCCTTAAAATACCTCTCAAAAGGGAAGATTTGAAGGAGGGGTAGGCTCCTCCGTGGCCCGTGGGAGCGCCGCCCCCTGTCGGACGCAGCCCGCATTACGCGTCGACTCCCGAGTGTGCTAGGTTAACTCTTGGTTTTCTGCCGTGTCTCCGTCTCGGGGTAAACGCTCGACGCTGCGGCAGGTGCGACTTGCGAGGAGGCGGCGTTCCGCCTCCGGCCACCGCCCCCGGCCTCCAAGCCCTTTTACACGATCCGGGGCCGTAAGTAGACGATTTTTTTTCAACCGAGGCCCGGCCGATTTTGCAAATACGCCTCGCAACGAGCCGGTCACAGCGATTTACAGTTCTTTTACGTTTTACCTTTTTTTCTTCTTTTTCTTACTTGCTGGTTTGTTTCTTGTCTTATTTACACAAGTTTACACCCAGGCTTTTCCAAGAATTCAAGCTTAAAAAACCTAAACCTAGCTTAAATTATCCTCTTTTGAAATATTTACACACACACACCAAACAGGCAAAAATCACTTACAAACATTTAACAAAGCAGGCTATAAAATCGTCTAGTGACAAAAAAGAACAAAAACAAAACAAAAAACTCAATATTTCATCCATCATAAATTTTCATTGGATAAACCAAGTAACATTCAGAATATTCATTCTTGGGAACCTGGTGGCTTAAAAAACACCCTTACCAATTCAACGAACATTTATGGATTTACCCTCACATTCAATGTAATAGATAATTTCAATTATAGACCTCAATATTAATTATATCAATTCTTTTTATGTAAGGTACTTGGTTGAGATGAAAAAGCTAGCATCATGAGCAAGATTCGAACCTACGACCTTTGGCTCAATATGCCGCTGCTCTAACCACTTGAGCTATCGTGATTTTGATCCACTTGGGCATCAACTCATCTCACAACCTACAACTTTTCAAATTTTCCCTTTTTTGCCATTTTTCAAATGTTGTGTAATCAGGATTTAATTCTTGGCGATGTATGAAGTGACCACGGGGAGCTGTTAGTGAAGTTATACTTCTTTACTTAGTAAATATTAATCCATTTATGTTCAGTGGTCTAATTGACTGTATTAATTATATCAATTAATTGTTCTTTTTATGTAAGATCCTTGGTTGAGATGAAAAAGTTAGTGTTATGAGTGGGATTCGAACCCACGGCCTTCGGCTCAATACGCCGCTGCTGTAACCACTTGGGCTATGTAACTTCAATCTGCTCTGACCCAACTTCTCCTCTCACAACCTTTCGAATTTTACCTCTTTTTGCCTTTTTTCAAATGTTGTGTAATCAGGATTCGATTCTCAGCGCTTTATGAAGTGGCCATGGGGAGCTGTTGGTGAAGTGATACGTCTTTACTTATTAAATATTAATCCATTTATTAAAAAATTATATTGGTTGAGCCATTATGAGTGGTTAGTACAGCGGGGTATTGAGCCGAAGGTCGTGGGTTCGAATCCCGCTCGTGATACTAAATTTTTCATCACAAGCAAGACCTTACATAAAAAGAATAATTAATCGAAATTATTTGTACGGTCAATTTGACCAATTTATTGTGTCTTTGTAGCAGAAGCAGGGTGAATTTCCAGTCTTAATCTACCTTTTCAACATGTTCGACAAATGCTGAACCTACATTGGGTTTGTTTATCAGATGACCAGATTTTGGTCAAAACAAATATTCTAGAACTCGTTTCAACCCATGCACTCCCTGTATAACAATTTTTTTTTTTTTTTTTTTTTTATTTAATGGCTTTATTTATTACTGATCTCCGGGTAATATCAGCAGCGGGACGCTTAGGCCGCCAGAGACCCGACAAAGCCAGCCCACAATGGGAAAGGAAGGGAATCCTTGAAATATTCACTTAATCTTTCTTGCTGTGAACTCTTCGGGGATGTGGATAAAAATCATTTACATCAAAATTAATATTGGGCACCGCGGTAGCCCAGTGGTTAGCCTGAAAGACTCAGCTTGTAGATGATAGGTCATGGGTTCGAATCCCATTGTCGCCTCTAGACTTTTTTCACAATACTCTTCACACATGCATAATAATTGTCTTAGACCTTGGCTGATATTGATAGATAAAAAAAAGAAGCAAAAGTCCACATCCCTCTGGTTCCAGGGGATAACACGTCCCACCCATATTAACTCCCTCAAGACTTACAACCCCCTATCTCTCAGAAGAAAAAAAGTAGTTTAAAAAAATCCTTTCTTAGCAGCTATTCATGTCATTATAGGAATTCACTGTCGAAATTTCAGACTTTTTGATCCAGTAGTTTGGTCTGTGCAATGTCTGTCAGTCAACCACTATTTTTATATATAAGGACTACCTGACGCAACTATTGTGTTTATGGAAAACTGTTTGTTAAGTCGTTACAATGTACTAAGTTCTCTAAAAGTTTTGCTCGTCTTACTCTATACACAATAAGAATATGTGTTCCATATTTTCATAGATATCGCACGTTCCACAATTTTGGGTAGGTCTCAAGCCATTTCTGTATAAGTACGAACAAATGACACCCATTTTCAAACGGTCAGTAGTGGAAAAGAAACCTTTCTTTCACAGACAACCATGGTTTGCTTACCAATTTTGGAAATAACACGCACACAAACCTTATTTTAACCCATTACTTATCTCGATGGTGCGTTCAGCTGCTACTCACCAGTTTCCGTGCATTAGTCTACGTCCATATTCTGCGAATTTCCATTGAACTTTCTAATCAATAATGGATCTTGTAATCAGTACGGATGGTTAGGGATGCACTATTATCTATCGATTTGCTAATGTGAATCTATATGATGATAGATTGACATAGTTACTTCAGTATGTACTGTTATTGGGTCAAAACGATTTTTCCTTTAGAAAGCTTCCTGGGTTGAAACGATTTTTCCTTTAGAAAGCTTCCTGGGTTGAAATGATTTTTCCTTTAGAAAGCTTCCTGGGTCGAAACAGATATTGGATAAAACGCAATACGCTTAGGGTGCTGTGGATTTTTTTCATGGCAGTCATTGCAGCAAATGCCTATTTTTAATTTAACTTTAGCGTAAATCGGAAGATGGACCCGATGCCACAATCACATCCAATAGGAAATAATAAATTATTAAGAAGTTAATATTTTTTATGGATTGCTTGCATGTAGAATTTATTTCTTGGTGCGAGTGTCACAGAATTTTGCCAGGGAGAAATGTGCTCCAGAAAATGACCCAGTACCTTGGTTAGCATACAAAAGTATATTTATCGCCACATAAAGGGACTTATTGGAAGATCACTTTGACATTGAATTCAGCATAATAAATAATAGTACCAGCATATGAACTAAGATAGCTGATTTTCGCTTACTAATAAATGTGAAATTTTCCTTCATTCTCTAATTCAGTTATACTTTCTTGATTATAAATTCACACTCTTATGATATCACGATAATAGAGATAATAAAGATATTAATAGGATTTGTGAGTCAGAAGAAATTCAATGTAAATTTTATTTGAAATAAGTCAATTATTCTATTATAAAACACCTCTAAACATAAAATAGAAAAGGTTTTCGTTCATAATCACAGACAAATCATTATGTGTAGAATTTAGTGACAGAAATAATGAATGGTGGAGTGAGTGCGGTGTTCAATCCTTTTTAAAAAGATAGTTCCTACTCACAATAAGTTGTTTTGCAATGATCCGGATTTCGAGCTTTTAGCTCATCAGGTTCTACAACCTGAAGCTCGAAATCCGGATCGTTGCAAAACAACTTGCTGTGAGTAGGAACTATCTTTTTAAAAAGGATGGTATTTAATTATTGTTTGTAGATCGTGAGGCGGTCTTGTGTGATGTAGGTTTAGAAAAACATTTTCTTTATTGTGCCAACTTTCGATCATTATTTAGATCATCTTCAGGGCTCAAAGTGTGGGTTTTGCGTGTAGATGTGTCACGGTTGTGTGTCTGAATATCTAAATAAAGATCAAAACGTTGGCGCAAAAAAGAAAATGTTTTTCTAAACGTACATCACGTAAGACTGCATCTCATGATCTTCAAAAAATCACAAATAATTTTTTTCCAATTTAATGCATGCGTTCTGTCAATTAAATCTACCTGCCTTGAAGAAACTTCTTTTATTATAAACTGAGAAACGAACGGTTAGTTTGATAGTATTAAATCACTTTAAAAAATTTAATTAAGCCTTAATTAAGTATTATTCAATAATGACATTCATTATATTGATTTTTTCAGTACACACTTTTTAATCTCAAGTGAAAACCTTAGATAAAAAGAATATTTAATTGAAATAATTAATATGGACAATTGTGACCAATGAACATACATGGATTAATATAATTTTTATTTGTTTGTTGAGTCTTCCATCAGCATATTTTTTGCCATGCTTCTTTTTCTTGTATGTTTATTTTCCTGTTTCAATTCCTGCCTGCTGTAGTAGAGGAGTTCCTTCTCCCTTTCTGAGAGATTTGTAAAATATCTAACGTATTCTTTGTCAACCTGCCTCTTTTTCTAATGAGTTTATTTTCTCTTAGTGTTTATCACTTTCTATTGGTGCATATCCTTGCATGATAGTTATGATTTTACATCCTTTATCCATGCTATCATAGAAACATATTAAATCTTTAATTTCTTTAAATTTTCCGTCGTTGTAATGGAACTATGCTTCTCTTTGAATAAACTGATATATTTTTTCTGTGTTGTAAAATAATTTAACACAAAATAGAATAACATTTAAAATCTAGCCAAATCTGGTAACACAGATAGGAGTAAGCAGTGTGAATTTATTAATAATCATGTTACTGATAAATATTTTTATTGGTTACAGATGCAAAGAGATTTTTTGTTCTCTGCATGTTATCATCTTATTTGATTACTTTCGTTAAATTTGACTTTCAGGTTTATTATTATTTTTTTTTTTCTATTTAAAAAGTAGCAAACTTAGTAATCAGAAGGCAGATGTTGTACAAATATGGTATATGTAACAATTTTTTTAAAAAACTTTATTTTATTTTCAGAAAAACCTTCTTTCCTCTCTTCTTCACTTTCGTTTTTAAGGGATATTTCTTATTCTGTTTCTTTTTTCCTGTTCTATGTAATAAACGTTTGATTTTGCATTGAAAAGCAAAATAAATAGTGTATTTATGTCTTTCTGATCTCTCAGAAATATTTCAAATAAAGAAGATTTTTTTTTCATGGGATTCATTTGTTTTTCTTTTACTGAAAACTGCAACAATAACCAGAACCAAGATCCATGGTGTGTGTCAATAACGTCTGCACTTAACCAGCCAGCGACGGCCTGACAGAAGTGCTATATTGTAATTGTCGTTTCAGATCTTGCGTGGATGTGGCCTTCGTTCAAGAGGACCTGGCCGCTCTATAAATGCTGCACGTGCGGCAGGGCGTATCGGTGGAAGAGCACGCTCAAACGCCACGAGGAGTTCGAATGCGGGGGCAAAGCCCCGACGCACCCTTGCCCGTACTGCAATTATAAATCGAAGCAGAAGGGCAACCTCGGCGTCCATATAAGGAAGCACCACCCCGAACGGTCTATCCCCGAGCGTAAATGACATAAAGTTGTTCCTTTGAATTTTTTTAATTTTTTTATAGTCTTTATATTTTAGTCCTTTTGTTTTGCTGTTGTGTATAGAATTTGGACTCGGATAGTTTTTTTAAATTTTTTCATATAGTTATCAATGAACTATTCAATTTAGGTGTTAAGTAAGAAAAAAAGAAACAATTAAAGTTTAATAAGTTACCAGTAATTTATTTTTTATTTTTTTTAAGTTTGACCAAAAAAGGTCATTGCTGTGGTTCGTTGTGTACTAAATTGTTCATTTGTTTGTCTCTATTACAAACTTAGCTTTCACCGGTAATGTACTGCATGTTTTCAATAGTATTTAATAAAAACAAAAGTTCATAAAAGCTAAAGAAGGCTATGTCAGTGATTTTTTGCAGGATAATTTTGTGATAAATTGATAAATCATGAATTATGTGTTAACTCAAATTTATTTTTGCCCAGCGCTTAGTCAGTTAAATATTTTTTAATTATTATTGATTATTTAACTTATTTAAAATTTATTAATTTTTGTTGCATCTGTTAAATTAATTTTTAGGGGGGGGATTCTTAAATATGCCTACCAGTTTTATTGTTCGCGTAAATGAAGAACGATGGGTGCCAATTATTTCTAAAGAAAATTAAAAGTAAGAGGATATTTTTTTACAGTGGTGGTGCTTCCATGTTCCTATCCTATCAAACCCTACGCCTATTTATTTATTTCTAAATATTTTAAAGACCAGAGGATTATCAAATTGTCTATAATTTTAATTCTTGGGCACAAATTTTTGAATTGTTTTATTTATATGTGCCTTGAATTATATGTGTGCCAAAATGTGTAAACTAATAACACGAAAGTTAAAAAAAAAAAGTGTGCAATGATGTTTTTATGGTTTGATTTTTGTTGTGTTGTTATTTTATAATTTGAACAAAATTTTTTTTTTATATAAATTCAAAAGAGATTTTAATGTAACCAAGAGATACCATGATTTAACTGTGATTTGTCATTAATTAATTGTAAGTTTTATTTGCTCAATTGGAGAATAAAAACTGTTGCTTTACAAGAAAAAAAATTCAAAATTAGAATTGTGATTTAAATAAGAAATAACCCCCTTTATCCCTTTGTATATACAAATCTTTTTCCTCTCAATTGTGGACGATGTAGTTTGAGATGTGTTAATCGAGCTTTTTTCTTTCTGTTCCCGATTCAGACTGCGACAGGGTCAAACGAGACCACAGCTACGTACAGGAGGCGGCAGTGCGGTGCGGATTCTGCGGTAAACTATACAGGCACAGGCGACACTTGAAACGTCACCTGGCGACCGAATGCGGTCGGGAACCTCAACTTAAATGCCCGCTCTGCCCTTACAAATCTATCAAAAACAACCTGTTATCGCGACACATCAAGTTGAAGCATTCTTAAAAGAAAAAACCTTTAAGTATTACCAATTGTTCCATTATTTTATTATTATTATTTTTTTATTATTGTATTTTAATAAGAAACCTGGGTATTTTTCTTTCAAATCCAAAGCCTGTGAATTTTTATATTTTATTTTTGAATTTTAAACAAAACTTGTTTTCCGTCTGAATACTTCTACATTCAATTTTATCTAGAATTTTTTTCAATATTATTATTTTTTTTTTTTTTAGCATCCATGGTTTACATTAAATTGTATGATCATATAGAACAAAACTAAATTAGTTAAAATTTTTAATCTTTTTTCACTTTCTTTTGGATTTTCATTTTTTTATTTTATTATTGTTATTATTATTTAATCGCCATAGATTCTTCTTGTAGTTATTTGTTTATTGATGTCAATAATAATCATCAATGAACTTTTTAATGTTGTGCAGTATTACCTCTGCGTTAAACATGATTTTTTTTCCCCATCAGCGGCTCTTTTGATGAACTTTTTTTTTACTCTAGTCGACTATGGCTCGGTATTTTTTATTGCTACAAGGCAGCTAAAATGTAACTTGATGTATGAGTGATTATTTCTCGATTGTATTATTTCTTTGTTTTTGTTCTTTTAAAAATATATACGTATATAAAATATTTGTTGTATTTCTGATGGCGCTCGACATTCCCCAGTCATTTTAAACTAGGCGAAAAGGTAACTATAACATTTTTACAATTATTTGTATGATTCGTTTTGAACTGATACTCTTCCGTTTTGTTTTCAGGCTTGGAGAGAATCTATAAAGGGAATATTTTCGCCAAAATAAGGGCATTTGATCCAAAAGGATGGCTTTGATTTTAAACGTGGAAAGTTACATTTCACGCAAGTCGAACAGTTCATTATTTTAAGTCATTTGAAAAGCTTAAAGTTATATTCGGGGGCGTCGGTGGCCACAACAGTTTTGGTGTTGACACGGCGCTCATCACTGTAAGATTAACATCTCGGGTTAAAATCCGACAGCCCTGTGTTTGAACCATACATACAATTTTTTTTCTTTCGAAAACACCGGCACTCTGAGGGTTAATATATCTTCATAGTTGAAATACCCTCATTAAAAAAGTATATTCTTTAAACAAATTTGTGTTTTGTAATTTTTTTTTTAATTTTACCATTTATTTATTTATCTGTCCCAATTGTAATCATGAAACAAGGAAAAAAGTGATTGTAAACAATGATAATTTTAAAAAAAGAAAAGAAACCAAACTGTCTTTTATTTGAACCACCCTATTCACTTTTTTAAAACTTCTTTATTCTATTTATTATTTTTTATTCCCCTTCTTTCTCTCCTTCCTTCTCCCATTCCGATTTCCTTGTCCATAACAAATTGAACAATGTTTTGTTTGAACGCAGAAACGAACCAGATGATGATATTAAAGCGGTCCACTTGGAGGAAGGTGGTGAGGATGCGGATGCTGAAACACAAAAACGAGGAAGGGTTTTTCAAGTGTGAAGGCTGCGGCACCATCGTCGGCCGGTGGATCTCGCTTTTCCGCCACTTCGAACACGAGTGTCCCATCACCTGCCACAGCCACGACTGCCCGTACTGCAAGTTCAAGACCAACTATAAACGTCCTTTTGTTGAACACATGCTTAAACACCGGCCTCAAATGCTGACCCAAAATTAGCTTGTCGAGGACGAGAATGAAAGGTCTGTAGTGAAAAATCTAATTGCGATACCAACACAGTGTAATCGTTTTTTGTTTTTTTTTACTCACAAGGGAGAAATTTCCACGTATTTTAATAAAGAAAAAAAGTAGGAAATCTTTTTTTTGTGTATTGAAATATTTATATTATACATATAGATGTCCATTTGATACAATGTTTGTTCAATTGTAAATTGTAATTTTATATCTTTCTCAAAAATTTTGAGGAGCTTTTTAGCTTTTTTGTCGACCTGACTGGCATTTGAATTGAAAGAAAGTTAATTTATTTTTACCTTTAAAAAATTTGACGTGTTTTGGTTCAAATTTTTATGTGATAAATGGTGACGTGTCTCAATTTTGGATAAGATATAAAATACATTAGGGTTTAATTTATTTCTACATTTTTACTCGTACTATAAACCTTTTTTTTACATTTCTTCAAATTTTATAGGTTTTGGGATTAAAAAAAAGCCAAAGGATTCATGTCCAAGAGATTTTTACATCTTAAAAATGTCACAAAATCTAGGACAATGGATGTTCAATATCACAAAAAAAAAAAAAAAATGATTGTTGATTCTATAATATTCTTTCCTCAGTTTGTAATGGCTGTAATTTTTTGTTCAATCATTAGTGTTCTTTCCCTTTTGCAATTTTTTCGTAAAATGTTTGTTACAACAATAAGACGTATAGTTTAGGATATTTATATATTACTTTGTTGTAAATAATGTTTACAGAGTTAATAGGATAAATGGACTTGTAAATAACCAGCTGACGTGTGGAAAAAATAATCGGCTGAAAAAAGTAAGACGTATCATCATTCCTGAGTTTCAAGTAAGCCTTTTAAAATTGAAATGTCTTGATACGTTAATTTTAAGTAAATTTTCAAAATTGTATTTTTTTTTTTCTAAACCTTTGTATATAAGTGTAAATAAACTGTTTGAACTCTTCTTTTTTTTTTAATTCTCTGGCAGACGTTTCACTGTTCATATGTGTGTAAATTTGTGTTTGTTTAGAAGAGGGACGATGATCTGCTTATAAGTTTGAAATTTTGCCTATTTCTAACACATCTTTTTCAATTTTGTGTAACCGCTAAAATATATTTTGTACTAACATTTATATACTTTTAGATTTATTATGTCATTACATTATGAAAATACCGAATTATCAAGACAAGCTTAAAACTAAGTTTTAAAGAAAGTTAATATTTAATTTTTTTAAAAATTGGACACTCATACAGTTTCAACAATCCATCCTTTTACTGATTTATACAAATTTATACACGTATGCAGAATTGTGCATAACACTTTTTGCAGTTCACTAATACCAGCTTTTGTAATTTACAACAAATTACCAGCAGGCCACAAGAATCACCAACCTCGGGTGTTGGTCTTGCTTGTCCAGTTGTCGAGGTTGTGCTCCTAGATTCATTCACACTTAATATTTAATATATTCTTATTTACATACCGTTCAGAGTGGTGGAATATTCAATATTCCTCCATCACCCTTTACACCTAACTACATAATTGACGCTCGATAAGTTATTCAATATTCCACCATTGGCCCTCTCACACTTTACATTCATGCCAATAAATACATTCACTCTTCACACTAGGTACAAAACTATCAGTATTATATATAATTTATTACAATTAATTAAGGTTTTTAGTTGAGATAAAAAAGACAGCGTCACAAGCGGGATTCGAACCCACGATCTTCGGCTTGATACGCCGCTGCTCTACCACTTGAGCTATCGTGACCTCCATCCACTTAGACACCAACTTCCTATCTCAACCCCACCTTCTGAGTTTTCCCTCCTTTTTGCCATTTTTATGCCATTATATATAATATGTACAAAGCCCCGTTTCCTCCAAGATTTATTTTAGTAAGACTGAAATCATCCAAATACTGGCAAAATGCTTCTGAGTGACAAAAATCTTCAAAGATAGACAATCGAAGATAATAGGTAACTATAATAAAATTGTACTTGTCAAAGAAACACTACCTCAATGGCATGGAAAAAAGGGTTAAAAATTGTTTGGAAAAAAGACAAAATTAGGATACATAGTTATTACTATGGAACCATTGTGGGTCTAAAGATCTGGCCAACCTTGTAATATTTGATGTGGATGGTTCACTTATTCAATTTTTTTACTTGTGCGAAATTTCTACTTGCATTTAGAGATGGTACAAAAAAATGTTGTTTTTAACTAAATTAATAATGCCAAAAAATGTGTATGGGGGTGGCAGTGGCCTCAATGGTTTAAGCGTTGACACAGCAGGGATAGGGGTGGAAGAGGCAGCCACAAGACGTACTGCACCTGACCTGATATAATAGATCTATAGTGCTCCCCTGTTATTTATAACTCACTGACCAGCTACAGGTTGTTAATCAGCTTCCTTAGCTTTGCCAACTGTTTCTTAGTGAAGGATCTTGCTTTTGGTTTTGCTTGTCCTAGTTGCAAGAACCTGCACCTACATAGACCTTTACAGAAACATAAAATGTGTGCTGCAGTCTCCTATTCAGTACATGTGCCTTCTTAAGTGGCCATGCCCTGTCAGGAGTCCAACCTACATAGACCTTCACAGAAACATAAAATGCGTTCTGTGTCTCCTCCTCTTCCTGGCAGTATCTGCACAGAGTTTCTTCTATCTGTACTCCTATTCGGTGCATATGCTTTCTTAAGTGGCATACCCTGTCAGGAGTCCAACCAGAATCCTGGTTTGGTTGTGGTTGCCTTCCAGTAATTCTTTTCTAAGTTTTGCGAACGGTCCTTCTATGAATCTCTTCGCGGGCCTCATATCTATGGTATTCCACCAGGTTTTGGACTCATTAAGGATCCATTTTAAGATGTATCCTCTTTTGTGGCAGGCTGCTAAGCCACCGTAAGTTAAGGACCCAGAGAGTCCATATTGGCCCCCTTTTTGGCCATAATGTCATGGCCGAAAAGTCACGGCCACTTTTCATTGCCTTTATGCCCCAAATGTATTGAGGAGTGAGGCTCATGCCAGGATCAGGCCAGTAGTGTCACTGACCTCCGTCAGGGCCTCCATGCAGTTCCAAACACTGCCTTCGGTACCAAGGACTGGAGGAGTTCCCTCCTGAGCACTGCAGCTGAGCTGTACAGCTTATTGTACTTTATCCCTGGCTCCATATTTTGGGGGAGGGCTCACAACACAAATGTGAACTTGAGCCCTGTTGTACCGGTGTTCTTCCATCGAAGAAACTCATTTTTGAAGGGGGTTGGGACCAAATTCAGGGTCGCTGAGATCCGATCCTGCCCCTTCTATTGATGAGTGCCGTGTAAATTTCTTTCAATTGCAGCCACCGGTCCCCTTAGGCGTCAGAAAAAGTCCAGAGGCGACGGTGGGGATCGAACCCACGACCGCGGGATCTACTAGCCGAGAGTCTGACACCTTAACCACTCGGCTACCGTGGCCTCATCACTGTAATGTAAAAGTACTGGGTTCGAATTCAGCAGCTATGTATTTGAACCTGACATACTAAACAAATTTGCTTTTTATGCAAACATACCGGCACCCTGAAGGTTCATTTAACCCCGCAGTTGAAATACACTCGTGAAAAAAAAAATTCCCATACACATTCATTCAACATTAAAAAAGTCCATGGTGTGAAGGGCGTAAGTCGCCCAATGACAATGTAAACTAGTAGTTACTAAGTAGGTCCCTTGGCCACTGTCTTAAATGGCCAGTTGACCTAGTGGGACTTTATAAGAAGCATATTTCTTGGACAAGTAGGTTAGTATGTGTTCTGCTGGAGTTATAAATTTTGTGTAACGGGAAAGGGCGAGGTTTTTGGAGGTCAGTATGTTGGGTCACTGAATCTGTGCAATCTTCTTCAAATGACCATTTAGCTTGCAGTGTCCTGTTAAGAATCCTTGGAAGTTTTTTTGCTTCCTCTATTGCATTATGTTCTTTCTTTCCTTCCAAAACTTCCTAAAAGGTACTTGAGTTGTTTGTTTCCAAAGAGTGAATTCCACTTTTTCCTAATTTTCTTTTCTCTAAGTTATTTATTGCTAGTGAATCCCTATTCCATCAGGATCTGTCATGGTATAGCAGCCGCTTTCCTCCCAAGGGTATACTTTCTGATTTTCCTCTACTCCCACAGGTCCTGAGACCCAGTAGGAAGTAAAGTTTAACTTGAAGGTAAAGTTGTGCAGAGACATTTTAATTAGTTTTATTATCCATCTTATTGTCCATTGATGAATATCGTTTAGATAGGCAATGTTGGAGGCAGTTGTTTGGGTTTTGATGTGAGAAAAGGTTGTGTCTGCAAATGTAGCAAGGAATGTGTTAGGATTTAGAGGGATTTGAGCATTATATTGAATATAGGAGAGGTCCTAGGATGCTTCCTTGTGCTACACCAGTCCTGAAAGGACAGGTAGGATTTTTATGATCAGGTAAGAAGTTGAGGAAAGAAGAGCCTTTAAATTTGAAGAAGCCCTGGGTGCCATGATTGAAGGTGTGTGCCTCGTCATGCCAGGGGGAACTTGCTCAAGGCTCGATGACCCTGAAGAATGATGCTGTGGTGTGAACGAATGCCAACTTGGTGTTTTGGGAGAAGGGATGTCTAATGAGACTTGATAGAGTAAGGAAATAATCTGTATGAATTCGTTAGGAAGATTTATTAGGTTTTGGGTTCATAGGGTTGTTCTAAGGACAGAATTGAAAAGATAAACATTAAAAATTTCAATACAAAATCAGTTTTTTATTTATTTTTTAATGCAAAATGAAAGGATAATTATTTTGAAAAATGTAAAGAACAGTTGTATTTTCACTAAAAAAACAAAAAATAAAATTTGTTAATTGAAACAGTTGTTTATTTGAATGTTTGAATTTATTTTTTGTGTGTTTAATGGTATGGTTTTCTCAATTTTTTGGATAAAGCGGAGCTCGAGCTGCTTTTGAGGTCTATGTATCCTCCCCTTTTCAAGTATTTGACAGCCAACGTCGAACCTGCGAGAGTAACTGTGTATCTTAACGGGGAGAACAATTTAAAAAGAGCGTACGAAATGGCTAGATAGCCGGCAGTCGTTTTCCTTCCTTTAATTCCATTCTCTTTGACGCTTTTTTCCTCTTCGGTTAAGACGTTCATGCGGACACCACTCTTGGCCATGAAGAAGAACAGACCGAACCAGCTGACCGACGTAAGCAGGTGGATCGGAACGATCACGTACCAGTGCTCTTTGTAGAGCTTCTTTATCTTCTGCACAAGAGTCAAGCGCTTACTTACGTCCAGGAAGCGCCTCAGCGAACTCACCCTAGCGTGCTGAACATTTTGGACTTTATTCATGCTGTTGAACCCGATCGCGTATATCCTAGGCGAGGAGGAAGGGAGTGATAACAAGTACGGCAACTTGAAACGCCTCGTATGCTGATAGACCATACTATGCTTAAACAAACTAGACAAAGCCTGAGACATTGTTGATTTTGTTATTTTTACACTATCCAAATTTTGATTTGATTTTCACTTTTATCTTCATTGTTGAAATCAGGTTTTTTAGTACAAACATTTTATTAAAATCATTTGTTTTTTAATTTTGTTTTTTAAACTTATGATAGATGACAAGTGGTCTATTCATTATTTAATTCTATTTCAATCTCTGTTTAGATTTTTTTTTTTTGCTTCCAGATATCGAATATTTTTAACCATAATACATTAAAAATTTCATAAATCGAGGATAATGTACAGTTAAAAAGTAGAGAAAATTGAGTTTTAACAAGTTTAATTATAACTAACAAATTTTACAATCGTTTACATGAACATTTATTTATATTATTTAAGGGCATCTTGAAGCTTGAAACCAGGACCTGGTGGTTCTGATGTGAGCGATGTGAGACCGCCAGCCGGCTCTGCTGCAAACCGGCCGTTTCTTGGCCCTGGTTTTGGACGTTTATCAGCTTTCAAGTCGTTCATTATGTCGACAGTGTCTTTAACTGTAAGATCCTCCTAAAAATAATTTTTTAAAATAATTAAAGTATTTAAAAAAAAGAGGATAAGTATAGACAAAATACGTTGATAAATGTAATAAAATACTACTAGCTCCCGTGGCTAACTCTTGGTATACAACAAATAAGATAAAAGAAGATTATCTAGAAGGCATATTAAAGAGCATAGAAGGAAATATCAGTAGAAAAAGAATTTCAGAATAAGCGAGTGCCATCAAGCTCAAAGATGATCTGCAATACATGGCTCTTAGCACACCGAATGAAAAGATTTCAACACCTTGGCTCCATATAGGGAGCATGTAGGCAAGAGATTTCTTAGTTACCAGTTTCATTTTAGGGAAGAGAGAGGGACAATTATTTTCACTTGTGCAGACTGTTAATTTTGATTGGCATTTTTGAAGTTCTTTCTCAGGTTTTAATTTTTAAAACGATTTAAAATTTTCATAAGACAATAAATCGAGTATTGAAAATGTATGAGAACATACAAAATAATCGTCGTTGACTTGGATCATTGGGGCGTTGACACAAGCGCCTAGGCATTCCACCTCAGACAGAGTGAATTTCATGTCGTTTGTCGTCTCGCCAACGTCGATCCCCAGTTCTTTCTTGATAGCGTCTAGAATCTCGTCCGAGCCTCTCAACCAACAAGGGGTCGTGGTACAGACCTGGACATGGTATTTGCCGGTTGGTTTCCTGTAAAAAAAGTAATAATATTATTAATAAAAATCAGATTGGCTTTAACGAATGTCGATTATAGTCGAGCCTGACCTCATGAACATAGTGTAAAAAGTGGCGACTTCGTAAACTCGCATTTTTGGCAAATTGAGGATATCAGCGACTTCGTGCATTGCTGAAATCGGAAGCCAGCCGTGCTGTCTCTGGGCGAGGTCGAGTAACGGGATCATCGCAGCCCTTTTATGACCCTCAGGGTAGATAGCAAGAATTGCATCTACTCTCTATAAAAAAAAATTCAAAATAAACCAAAATTTTTTTAAAATGAACCTTATCATTCAGTTGTGCATGGAATTCCAGATCTATTCAAACAAAGCTTCCTTTAACAAATAAATTGCATTTCTAAAATAGAATTTATTCTTAGAGAGGAATATATATTCATTTCTAAGCAGAAAGGAAAACACATATTCATAAAAATCAATCGGCCCTATCAGAAATTTTATTAAACGGTTTAAACAAATCGTCAATTGTAATATCAGCAAGGGATGACAAAACAATCACAGAGAAAATACAAAATTAGAAATAATTAAATAGCTTATCTAATTGATAAAGCTTTTCGAAATGACTCACAGAAAATTGATGCAAATCTCGATTAAAGAACAAAAAACAAGACGTTCATTTACAGTTGTGCTTTCAAAGAAAACTACATAAAGTTACATTTGATTTTTTTTTCTTTTAAATTTCCTACCATCTCGTAAATTTTATAAACATGTCCATAGAAATGAAGAAAATCCAAACAAAATTGCCATAGGCTGATTCATACAGAAAACAATGACAGATAAGTTAAAAAGTTTTAAAATTAAACACACAACTGAACCTGATTTACAAATAAAAGGTCAGCAAAATTAAATTAAATTTGTGTTATTTAATTGCATTTTGTCTCAAATAAAGGTTAGAATTTTGACCAAATAAATCTCTTTTAAATTAAATTGAACTTTTTAATGAAAATGTCAACTGTAGAAATACATCAGTACTTTTGAGAATATCGCCAATGCCTTCCAATCTCTATGACTATTGATTGTTCAGATCTCAGTGAAGAAAAATCCGGCAAAGTTTCATAGGTAAATCTAAACAAAATTTAAAACTTGAGAAATTTTAAATGGCAATTACAAAAATTTGGGTGAGACATGTGAATGGAAACCTTGAAAAAGTAACGACTTAAATTACAAATGATGAAAGTTAAGTATAAGTATTATATTTATATCAATATAGGCTCTATTTGAGTACAAAATAACTTATTAATTTTTATATTTAATAATAACTTGTACGTTGTTCATTAACTATACCCTGCTTTTGTACGTATTTGATGTCAGAAAAGTTAAGAGTACATCCAAGAAAGTAAACCAACGATGATTACAATACCAGAAGATATCTAATTGCAACATAATTGTCAACTGAGTTCACTCATTGAAAGTGAGCAGGCCTCGTGATAGTTGTGTGTTGTATAATATCCAACATGTACAAAATTTTAAAAATGAAAAACTCAAGATGTCTGTGATGTAGAATTTTTAAACAAACACCTACAAAACTGCGACAAAACAAACGAGAAAAGAAAGAAGACGGTCAATATTCAATAATTTATTTAAAGTTACAATGGAAGACAGCTAATTTTTGCCCTGTTGCTCGTCGCTGACATTCTTGGGGAAAAGGAAGCTTGCAAAGGTGTTGCGTATTATCTGGATGAAATTTGGGCATTCAGTCTCACCGTTTGTACTCACCTTGCAATTTTCCTCGTTAAACTTGAACTTAACATCAGGATTATCCTCTGGTGTATCTCGGTGCTGTAAATAAAAAAAAAATATGTAGAAATTAGAAATAAATTGTGGCTTATTTTGTCTTTGGAGTGATGAGCCTGCAGTTTGGTCATTTTTGATAAAACTGGTCTGAAATCTTAAAACAACTAAAAAATTGAAATGAATGAGAATAGACAACCAGGATTGATCATACAGTACAAAACTAAAGAAATAAGTAGAAGTTTAACAAGATTTCTTGACAGATCTAATACCTCATCATTGTCTTCTGACTGGTTACAAATAAACGTATCAGATACAGTTTCCAAATTCCGCCTTAGTTCTTTTCTTCTCTCGCGCTCTTCCAGATCGTTGTAGTAACGATCGAGCCTGTCGGAGAATTTGTATTTGGGACTCAACACCTCGCCCGTTGTTGAAGGTTTGGTCCACTTCTCCGAAAGGATCTGTAGCATTTTTTTCTTTCTGGTATTGACGCTTCTTTTTGACTGTACGTCTGTCTTTATGAGCTTTGTGGCGAGAGCTGTCATTGACTTCGTGTAGTTAAGAGTCTCTGGCTGTTTTGCACATGTTTTTGTAACATTTCTATTTTTTACAGTTAATTTCCTTTTAGGCGGGATTTCTGATTTTGAACGAGTGTTACATTTTCTTTTTCGGGCGTGAACACCCTCCTTTAAATCAGATTCCGGTAATGTTAAATCGATCACTTCCAACGGCGAGCCGTTTCCATTTTCCCTAAGCCTTCTGACACGAGAATTTGGCATCCTGAATATTTAAGCTAAAACACTTATTCACATAATATTTAAGAATTTGAATACCAATCTGACATACACGATATAGTTTTATTTGTGTAATTTGTTGAAATGAGCTAATTTTTCCCAAATAACATATGCTAGTAAACACATGACAAAATTTGGATACATTAGAACCAACAAAACACTCTGGCATCAAATTGTGTCAATCATTCAATTGTAAACTTGTTTAAAAAATCATTGACCACTTTGCAGTTTCATCAACTTTAAATATTCCCTATATATTTCTATTCTACTATTTTTAGACTGAAGACAAATCATGGCCTATGGGGTAGCTACAAGAAGAGAATCGGTTTGGCATCGTCTCCGAACTGTCCCACGTGCGATTGCCCTTCAAATCCTTCCCACATAATTTTTGAATGTCCAGAATATGAAAATGAAAGAGACAAACTGCTAAAAAGTCTGAGCAAAGTCCCAAATATTTCAAAACCAATAAACTTAGAATCTGTCCTAATAAGCAACAACCCATCAGCTTTCAATCTATGGATTTCTAAAGTCCATAAACGTTTCTTTTTGATTATCTTCAAGCATGAAAATTTAGAAGATGAGAAGATGATGGAGCTGAATGAGTGGTGCGGGCGCGCGGCAGGGACCTGGCCCTGGTCGGCCGATCACGCTCGACAGTAAAATGAAAATAGAAGAAAACTTCATGGGTAATATGCCAGCGTAAACCCCAAAAAAAATCCGTGTCGTGTGATCAGATGAAGGCAAATTAAAATTTTTGAAATAACCTTTATTAAACAATCCTATTACAAAGTGTGTGAATAAAGTGTAGTTTCTTGGTAAAAAAAAGAAAAAGGTATTTAAGCAGTAGATATATAATTGTTTATAACAATAAGCCTGCTTTAAAATTAATTATTTGATGCTTTGCTAATCCTGATTGCAAAATTGTAATGTCAGGCTTGAATGAAGGCATCTTACAATGATGAGCGCCGTGTCAACATCGCAACCTGCAAGTAAGATGACCAAATTCACTCAATAGTTTAGTCATTTATCTTGTATACAGTCAATGTATGTCATACAGATTCTCTGTGTGCCAGTGATTTATCCATTATAGTGGTACACAAGCTTTCAACCTATCAGGGCCTAATCCACTTGGCAAGATATATCTAAGCAGGATGGATTTTGAGAGAAAAAAAAGTGGGTCAAAAAGTATTGCCAACTGACTTTTTCTTAGGTGAGCCAACGATCAATAATATTGCACAATATTATAAATTGCACAATATTTTCAAGTAATATTGAAGTTTGCTCAACGATTGAACAAAAATTTGAGCGAGTTTAATTGTTAGTACACCATATATATATTTTTTAATGCACTGCAAGATTAATAGCGCGCAATTATAGCTGCAGCCAAATCTTGGTCTGACATCTTACGGAAAAACATTATTATGGGCCATCAATATTATTTATTGCATGATAAATTGGGATCAAGATGTTTTTAATACTATGGCACAATAAAAATTATTGTGCGATGTTTTTGTAGGTCTAGTCTAGGCCTTAAATCTCAATAATGGTTAATGTTTGATACTAAATTTATTTAAAACAACTATTATCTTTTGATGGCAATAAATTGAGAGAATTAAAAATAAAACAAAAATAATAAATAAGGGTATGAATAGTGTGTGGGGTATGCATCAGTTGTAGAGCCTTTTCACCACGTGAGGAGGGGTAAATACGAGTAGAAATCAAGTCCCAGAAGTTACACCGGAAAGATCGCTAGGCTTCCTATGGGAGAGCCAATTCTTTCCGTTCTCAAAAAAAAAATCTTAAATAAAATGTTATTCTTAATTTTAACCCTTTCAATCTGAAATAAACACAAACCAGGATGAACACCGCTATTCTAAATTATTTTCTGACTGGTTCAGTGGTAATATAATGGTTAAAATACAAGAGCATTGTGTATCATTACGCATTTGTTGTTAAATCGCATTTTCATGGATTGAGTGAATGAATTAAATTGCAAATTGACTAGAGATGACTTTCAGCTTCAGTTAGAAACATCATAAAGAAGAACGATGAGACGGGCTCAAACCTAAATGAATGAAATTTTGAGCGGCAATAAAAATTTTCTCAAAGAAATTTTCAGATTCACAAAATAGTGGCAAAAACTATTTCTGCCTCTAGCCTAGCTTTAGAGTTTGCATTAACTTCTAACACAACTTTCTGCGTGCAGATGTGCAGGAATGAAATTCACTGTTTTAATTATTAAGGCAGAGTACAAGGAAAGAAACTATTTATCAGTGAGTTCAATCACAAAAATTACATGCATGAAATGTTAAGAGTTTTGGAAGTACATAATATTTTCAGAAGAAAGCAAGTAAATATTTTTGGCTCTGATGGTTGCCACCATTCATGATAACTTGCATTTGAAATTAGTTACCTCAGGCCAACAGTGAAATACAGAGGCGTTTTAGACTGGACCTGCTGGTGTTGTACACTTAAGATTAATTGAAGATTAATGCAGGCAAGCATGTTGACATTTTGCGCCATAACTTGAACAACAATGCTGAAAAGATGGGATTCAGGGGCACATTTTCCAGCAAGTAATGATCTGAAGCATACCGCAAATTAATTGAAAGAATGGTTAGTTTGGAGACAAATAAAAACTTCACACCAACCATCGGATATAAATCTTAAAGAGCATTTTTGCTATTTGCTGGATTCAAAGTGACAAAAAAATAAAATTTATTCAAAAAGTCAGCTACAAACTATTGCGTTACAAGAATGGGATTAAATTAGACCTGAAATAATCCACAACCTTGTATCATCGATGAAGCAAAGCTTTCAGGCCATATTTATTAGAGAGAAAATAAAATTTTGTTTAAAAAAAGTTTCTGTTGTGCTGATACATTCTGAACCTTGAAATTCAAATTCTTATTTATTATTTATATCTTATTTTTAATTAGCTCCATTTATTAACACAACAAATTAATAGTTGAAGGCTAGCTTTTAAATAAATTTAGTATCAAACAATTAAACTTTATATTTTTGAGATAGGATTTGGAAGGATTTTTTAAGGAAAAAAAGTGGTGTGACAATACTTTTTAGACCCACTATAACATAATTTAAGAGTTAATAAAAACATCACTAATATTATTTTCCATTATTACCCACTGGCCAAAAACTAATAAAGCCAAGTGATTCGGGTAACATAAGGGTGGCTAAGGTCATAAATCCAGACCACAAAAATCCGCTTTGATATCAAATTGAAAAATAATTTTGCTTCGTCTAAATTTTTCACATTCAGGCAATCTCAAGACCAGACTAATTGTCAGAATTTAAATTGTTTTCCAACTTTTAAGACTGCTTATTGTAATTTCATGATGCACACTTTTAAGCAGCAATTAAGTATTGCTTTTTTAAATAAACCAACATCGACTTTGTACGAATTTTCCTTTTCTTTTAATTGTCAATTTCATACATATTTAAATAAAAAAGACCAGGGGATAAGACAAATTTGAAAGAAAGAAAAACACTCAGTTCCTTTGTCAATCTTTCCAAGAGGTGGCCTTTTTATATTGGTTGAATTTTATAATATGTATATATATAAAAAGAAGAAAATATTTAATATTTTTGGGCTAGTTTTAAATTTTTACAGATTTTTTGAAATGTTTGTTGTCAGGATACTTTAGGGCCAATACAACTTTGAAATTTAATGAAATAATTTGAGGCGGATTGAGAATGGCAATTCACTTTTGAATGTTGGGACTGAGTCACTCTCCAAATTGATTTGAAACTATTTTTAAAAACTTAATTATGTCAATTTGTAGATGATGATGACATTTTAATAAGTCAAAAGCTTGGCAGTACCAATTAATTTTTTTTTTCATCAAACCATGCTGTTTGAGATTATTCATGAGGAAAAAATGGTCAATACATCTAACACTTAAATCTGAAAGATCAATCTATTGAGTTTGTATGTAGATGTTTATATTTGTTAATGTTCAAATCATTAGAAACAGTTTTTTTTTTTTTTTTAAAGTATTAGCTCATTCTTGACCCCGCTCCTCATGACTCAACCAGTCACTAAAAAACATTCAATTCTACCAAGAGACGAACAAAATACCCTAACATGGGTTTTTACGAACATATCACCATCAGACATGGACAACAAGGCACTCTCACATTCAAAAACAGCCAGAAACCAGAACAAACAAGCAGCTGCTCAATAAAATTTCACACAAAACCAATATGACTCTACAAGAATTGTACCACACTTTGAGTATGAAATAATTGGTACAAACACGCACTCAACACGACACGCAAGAATGACACAATTACACGGAAGACAAACACTTTGAGTGAGTAGAAATACTTTGATTGAATATATAAAATATATTTTGCATTGTATAAATTCACTTTTCCACATCCAAAATGTAATTGTAATATGTAAACAATGTTTGTAAATCCCAGGCCCTGAAGATCTCTATAAAGATCGAAATGCTGGCACGATAAAGAAAATGTTTTTCTGAAACCTACATCACACCAGACCGCATCTCACGATTTCTAAATAAATATCGATTAACGGTCACTAATCACCACACAAAATTGATACAAAGTTTATATTTACATCTGTATTGTATTATTTTCAATCAACATGTTTCATCAGTATGTCATCATTTTCATCAATATCAACAACTTTTTTTTAACAGTGGATATCAGCTGTACAGCTTATTGTACTTTATTCCTGGCTCCTTTTTTTAAGGAGCTCGCAACACGTGTGTAAGTCGAGCCCCCGGTGTGCCAGTGCTCTTCCATCGAACTCATTTTTGAAGGGGGTTGGGACCAAATTTAGGCTTGCTGAGATTCGATCCCACCCCAGACCTTCCATTGATGAGTCAATTTCTTTCAATTGCGACCACTGGTCTCCTTAGGCTTCAGAAAAAAAGTTCAGAGGCGACGATGGGGATCAGAGGATTTACTAGACAAGTCTGACGCTTTAACCACTCGACTACCACGACCCCCTTCTTTATGTAGAGATATTTACCTAATCTCTCGATCTTTTTTTTTTAAATTAATTTATTTTTTAATATATTTATTTACGGATTATTAATCCTTTAGCATACAATTTATATAAACCAATATAGAATGTAACAAGCCAAGAACAAAAAATATATAAACTTTTTGAAAAACAACAAAACTGTGCAGTACAAAACAAATTACAGGCATATAAGCAAAATATAAAATGTAAATGTACTTCTCAAAAAGATTAGTAGGTAAAATAAAATATTTATTTTTTAGAAACATGATGTTAATAACAGTTTTCTTTTAAAACCTAATCTAAATAAACTGAAAATATCAATATCTATCATATTAAGGTATCTCAGATATCTAGGAATAGATGAAAAATAAGTGTAATTTCTTTTATAAAATTTAACATGAAATAAATTAAACCATCTGGTATTTTTTTTGTGGAATGGTAAAAGGGTGGGCGACCAAGGCCCGAGGAGTTAAATGCCTGGGTAGACTCGTACCCCATCCCTAAAAGATCCAGGACTTGGTCGGCTCACATGTCCTGCATAAACCTCTTGGACTTGTTCACAAACCCCAAGATTTTGGACCATTTTATCTCGGGGAGTGATTTGGTGATGTCCTCTCCTTCAAAGATTTCAAATCTAGACCTAGGATACCTATCACACTCTGTGAGGTAGTGCCTTGCCGTTTCTTCTTTTATTTCGCAGAAGCAGCAAAAGGGATCTGGTAGGATACCCATTACGAAGAGGTGTCTTCTCAGTGGGCAGTGGCCCGTCAGAATACCTATCAACCTCCTAATTCCCTTCCTTGAGATAGAGATTAGCCATTTTGATTCTGCTGGTTTGATCGCCTTAACAAACTCTTTCGATTGCCTGTGTCCGGGGGATAAATTCCACTCCCTAAGGAATTGTTTCATGCCCCAGTTATTGATACTCTCTTTCGCTGTGTTCATAGAGTGGGGTAATACCGTTGTGGCCCGACAAACGCAGTATTAGAACCTTCTTTGGCTAGGCCATCCGCCTTTTCATTGTCATGGTGTCCTTTATGTGCTGGTATGTTATTTTGGTATTTATTGGTATGTATGATGATGAGGTCTAACAAAGGATGTATATAAATGTACAAGGGCTGGTATGTTAGAAAGAGATTTAATTTGTGATCACAAATCATCATCACTATATCATGTCTTATATCAATCACATCAAGATAATTCAAACATATCTGCTAATTTTCTATAGAAGTAGGCATGAAATCAGTCTGAAATCGCTTTAAAGGTGGCTCCATACATGCAGGATTCACTGAATGCCGAATAAACACCAAGAGTCTAGATGCTCTGCTTGGCATTGGCTAATACACATGCCGGGGTTTGTTCGGGATCAGCGGATATTTGTGCACTTTGAAACTGATACGTTAACCGACAACTGAGCAAGGCAAGCATTGATTATTGTTACTCGGCGAGTAACCAAGCACCAATCCACATAAGTCAGGATTCGGCGAACCTCCGCTCAGCATTTGGCATATCTGGGAGCCATCGTAATGCATTACGACCAGTCCAGACTGATGGTTCACTTTGACCAAAATAAAGACAGGTAAATTTTAAAAATAACAGGAAATTGGATCTCACCACAAACAGGTTGTCGGACAAGGCTGCGCATGATGTGTTGAAGCTGCGAGTGCCAAAAAACTGTCAAAAGGAAAACAAATACATTAATTAATACAGAAAAAAAACGCAATTACAAAATTGAAATTCCGACTCACCACTTTTCTCCCTAGCCTGGACAAATTCGATAACATGTCGATCTGTTGTGCAGACCTAAAAAAAATCAAAAACCCTCTATCAGTCCCAACTCCCAAGTCAAGAATAAGGATAACAAAAATAACCTTGTCTGTTGTACAATACTCAGCTGCTCTGTTGTGTCGTATATTTTTTATACTTTACCTTTTTTTTAATTATTATTCCTATTTCTCTCTCCGAATATAGAGGAAAAAATACAACGACCAAATATGAATTCTTTATAGGAGAAAAATAACAAGAAATGTTTTGGTATTTTTTTTTAATCTTATAATTGGAAAGTTAGACTCGACTGTTATCAAGTAAGAGGTTACCACTCGTGCTTTTGAGTCTAGCGTCCCCGGTTAAGTTCGACAGTTAAGTTAACAGAAGCCTGTTATCTTTTTTTTCTACAGTCTATAATATAGATTTTACTCATTTTGAATCAAAAAAAGGTAAATATGCAATATCCATTTAACTTGCTATTTTGTAGAAAACAAATTATTACGACAGAGCCGATATTCACTCGACTAAAGCTTGTAAAGGAAAGCTTCTTGAAGTCAAGGGAAGGAAGTATTATAAGAGGGCGAGAAAGGCTATTATGCACTTACAAGTTGCTATTAAGATAATTATCTCCTTACTCCCTTTAAAATCCGGGGTGCCCTAAGGCTGTAGCATCTCTCCTAGCATTTTTCCCATTTATATTAACGACCTGCTCGATCCATCCGGTCCTGTAACTACCACCTGCCGATGACTCCCGACATATCTTTCCACCATTCCGATCTTCACTCGGCTATTCTCAAAATCCAAAAAGAAAGTCCGGATTCCATCAACGAATGGGCATAAAAATTCCCTAGTCCTCAATCCGTCAAATCCACCGTCATAATTATTGGGTCCAGGCAACTCCTCAAATCCTTCCCCAGCATCCCACCTCTTATTTCAAATAATCATCCCATTCCTTTCTGGTCCTCGGTTAAAAACCTAGGAGTAGTCTGACCAAAACCTTTCCTGGCATCCTCACATTTCCCAAATTTCCTGCCGTTGTATCGCCTCGCTCAGCCTATTTTGTCATTGGCTTCGCTTTTCTCCACCTGCAAACTCCTTGTATCTTCCGTTATAATTACCTTCTTTGATTACGGCTGTGTGGCATACGTTGGTCTCTTGGAGAGATTGAAGATTACGAATTGTTGCGTATGATTCATTTTTGGCACCCCACGGGGGTTTCAGGGTTGTATTCCCAACTTTCCTGGCTCTACCCCTCCTTCCATGCACGGTATTTCCTAGGTTGCTTTCTTTTCCAGTCCACCCACACTCGTCCTCCTTACATCACCCAATCCCTCCAATTCAACTCCTCACATCACACTCGTAACACTTGCTCATCCCCAATTGACCTTATCCTTCCGCCATATACAACCCAAACCTTCGTAAGATCCTTTCTGATCTGAGCTACTAAATTCTATAACTCCCTTTTCTATTCGTCATGCTGCCTCCTTTTCCTCCTTTAAATCCCACCTGTATAATCACCTCCTCCCCTCCAAACAGACACCTTACATTAATATTTGATATTTTTGTTTAATATTGTAGTTATTTTTTCTTATTTCTTGCCTTAATTGTATACCTTGTACCAAGATTTTTATTTCATTTCATTTTTAATTTCATAAAAGGAACTTCTTTATTTATTTCATGTATATTATTCATAAGAGACACCAGTCCCAGAATAAAGTTATTTTTATTCTATCTTCTTCTTCTTAATAAGATAATTATAATATAACATACATAAACCTATACATACAAAACATTATAACATAAAAATGTTTTGGCAATGTTTATAACATTTAGTATCTAATACATAATTAGAAGGACCTGATTTGTAGGAGGGTCAAACAGGGAACATACCCGATGCAACACAACACGACGTGACCTGACGCTAGTCATCGCCTTGTCTTGTTTTGGTAGGGTGTGCAATCTGTCTGACGTCAAGTGCACAATGTACAGTAACACAGCGAGTATCACAATAATCAATAACACAATCGCAATGCTTTTTTTATTCTTAATGCATTATTTGAGCAAAACCATGTAATAAATTGTTAGTTAAATTTAATTGTTTTAAATAAAGTTAATCCGGTGTTTCGAGAAATTTTTTGCCTAACCATCATAATTAAATAATTTTTATAAAAATTCATGAATTATTGATCTCGTTTAATTTGGTTTACATTAAAATAAGCATGTTGTACTTAATATAACGACAAAATTACATATACATAGTTTGAACTAAACTACAAAAAATATGAGTGTCCGATTCTGACATTACTTGACAAAAATGGTGAAATTTTATGAGCAAAACCATGTAATAAATTGTTAGTTAAATTTATTCTATCAATAAATGGTATTCTAGTGTTTTGATCAATTTTCTGCCAAACCATTAAAATTATTTTTTTAAAATAAAAACTAATAAATTTTTGATCTCGTTTAATTTGGTTTACAATAAAACAAGCATGTTTTAGTTAATGTAACTACATAATTACATATATGTACATAGTTTGAAATAAAAATATGGGTGTCCGGTTCTTTTGTTTTTGATTGTACTCAGTGCGACTAGACAAAAATCTGGACGTAGAGTAGGGTAGCGTTGTATGGCATTGGGCAGATGCGCATGGGGGTAATACATTCTTATGAAAAATTGGACGTTGGTTTTGCATCGGGTAGGATCGTTTAGCGTTGCATTGGGTAAGTGGGTTCCTCACTTCATCCTCATCCGATATGCCATGTGAGAGAGTGATTTATCTTACTGTATTAAACAATGCATTACATTTAATACATAATTACAAATTTGAGTGATAGTGGCAGGACCACTTTAACTACAACCAGAAAATCTATAGATTGTTTAAAGTGTGGTGAATAGTAACAGTGAGATTTTTGAGAAGTGGGAAAAAGTTTAAAAAAAACCACCCATTAGCCAGGAGAATTCACAAAATAGAATTTGAGGGCCGTTGTGCAGTCCTTATAAAAAAAAATCTGTATATTTACGAACCAGAAATAATATAAATATCACAGCACTTCGGAGTATTATATTCAGAGTATAATCACAGCTCAGTTTCAAATCAGAATGTTTTTTACATGCCAGTGCTTCCAGCGCTTATTAAGGTCATAGGCTCCTGTTTCTCAGCGTATGGCATTCCTGCTCGTAGCACATCTGCTGAATAATCATAGGGTTCTTGACCACCTCCATGGCAATGGTCTTCGTCTTGGTTATCTCTTGGAGGTGGTCAAACCTGGTCTGTTTTCCTAGGATGGCGTTGGTGGCCACAATGGTTTAATCATTGACATGGCGTTCATCACTCTAAGGTAAAGATCCCATGTTCGAATCCAGCGGCCCTGCATTTGAACTCGACATACTTGCAAATGGGCTTTTTCCAAAACACCGGCCCTCTGAGGGTTCAAATAACCTCATAGTTGAAATACTTTGTAAAAAATATAAAAATTCCTGGTCTGTCTTGGGTAGAAGTAGACAAACCTCAAAAACTTATTTTGTATCACTTATAACATGCAAGCGATGATCCGAGCAGGTCATGTGTGCAGAAGCATGGGCTTAACAATGCTGCTGTAGAGAAGCTTTTTGTTAAAAGCTAGAGGAAACAGGGTTGATAGTAGTTTTTCTATGCTACATGCCACTGGTGAATGTCAGACTGCTATCCGTCGTTAAGTCCAGATATTTTGCATAGCCTGACCAGGGAATGGTATTTCCTGCTGACATGACATGGTCGATTACTGCAGGTCTTCTTTTGGTGAAGAGATTGGTTTCTGTTCGGCTGAGTTTATTTTAAGTTTTCATCTTTGGCAGAAGCGAGCGATTTTTCCAATTTCAGTGCTTAGCCTTCTTGTTATTGTGTTTGGCCTCCATGAAGATGTTAGTAGGGCAAGGTTGTCAGAGTAGAGAGCCATCCTTCAGGTCTTAGCTATAGGTAGGGCATTGAGGATGCCTACCCTGTGTACGTTTCAAACGCAAAATTTGCAATAAATAAGTTTTAATAATTAATAATATGTACCCTTTGATTTCAAACTAGAATTATATAGCACAGTTTAAGATCGGTCCTGCAGCACAGATAGTTTGGGTACAATAGGTACAATATAAATAAGTGGAAAGATTTTTTATATACTTTCATAAGAGAGCACTCAAACCCCATGCCATTTTGTCAAAGTGACAGGTAGTTCCTCACTGAAGATGGTGAAATGCCAAAACACGTTTGAGTAGTAAGACACCCAAACTTTGGTTCAGCTTGGGTTTACCTACTCGCAGATCAAAAATCAGCATTAACACCATTGACTATAAACATTCACTAAAATCACAAAGATTTCTTTAATTTCATTTAATCACCTTTTAATTGTTGATACAGAATCATTATACTCTTAATTTGTACATTTGAGTTTTTAATTAGAGATGCCAAGATGACAATAATTATAATTTTATTTTTATTTTCAGCGTTTACAAACAAACATCCAAAATGAGTGCGACTATGCCAGTTAACCCGAAACCTTTCCTGAACAGCCTGACCGGGAAGCCTGTGATGGTAAAGCTCAAATGGGGCCATGAGTACAAGGGCTACTTGGTCTCTGTCGACGGCTACATGAACCTCCAGCTGGCCAACACGGAAGAACACATCGACGGCGCTTGCACCGGCAACCTGGGCGAAGTCCTCATAAGGTGCAACAACGTCCTCTTCATCCGCGGCGTTGAGGAGGAAGACGAAGAGGGCGAAATGAAGGACTGATTCATCATCCTAGCTTTTAATTTATATTTTAAGCCTCTTTAAATTAAGTGTAAATATGTCGATTAAAAAAAAAAAAAATATACTTTTTACTTTCCTTTAAATATGATTTACTTGTTTTACATTTCTCGAAATATCTTCTGAATTGTATGAAATATCAGGTATAAGGCTTTTTTTTTTTGAGGGGGGAGGGCGAGAGGCATTCTAAAAATTCCAGGGATGATGTTGGGAGTTGTGCCCATGACCACAGCGTCTACGAGCTGAGAATCTATGCTAACCATTTGGCTACCTTGGCCCCCATAAGGTGAATTTGAAAGAAAGAAAAACTCGACACCTTCTTACATTTTAAACAATCGTAATATACCCTCTCTCACTCACTCTCTCTCTCTCTCGTAATATAAAAGTAAGTAGTAAGCTCTATAATAGTCTCGTGATTAGGGTTGTGGCCAATCCATGAGACTATTACAACATTGAAATTAAAACTATTAAAGCATTATAATGTTGCTAATCTTTTAACATTCTTTAGCTTAAAAATAAAGAAAACCCGTTCAATTTCATCCTTCCCAGAGCCAACATGTCGAGTGAGTATCTTTGATGAAACAATAAATTGGAGTAATTAATTATTAATTTTTTCCTTAAAAGCATGGTTTTAAGTTGAGAAGAGCTTGCTAGGTAGGGCAGATGCTTTGGCCAATTACACATAACCTCTGTAATGTGATGTGCTCTACCATCTACGTCCTACGATGAAATATGGCAGTTTGGGACCATTGAAAGCCTCAATTGAAGAGGAGGTAGGGGTAGAGGACAGATAGGTACTACAACTGTCATTAAATGGCTTCTTTGATAGGTCAACTCCAGACAGTCCGTGATTTAAGGTTGAGCTCTAAAACAGTCATCACAAGGCTTTGTGAGAATATCCTATCTCTAGAATCCACTATAAAAAAAGACATTTTACAATAACAAGAAATATAAATAATATATGTAAAAATACAAATAATATATATAAAAACAATAAGGACGTATATACATGGTAATAATATAAATATACAATTAAAGAGTAAAAACTGAACAACAAAAATGAAAGACATAATTACTAACTAAATAAGGCAGAGGAAACAAAATAAAACTGAAAGACAATTGAAACTACAATAATTAGGTACATATTTAATGAAAATAATGCTCTTTGTAAATATATAATAAGACTAGAGTGCGAGAATTGAATATAGAATATATTGAATAGAAATAAGACTAGAGTAAATGAAATAAATTGTAGTAATTTTGTACAGTATGAAATATAAAAGCACTCAACTAAGGTTGTAGGATAAGGTTTTTCACAGATTGCACAGAACTATTGAAGAAGTCAATGCTATTGCAGATATTGTTACTCTTGATCATCATTCTGTGTAGAGGAGAAGAGAGCATGTAGTTAGAGCTTCGGAATTCAATATAAAATAATTTATAGGTTTTAAGAGAGTGCGAAGGGGCATGTAGCTGTCGTTGAGAGACGAGATAAGGACTATCAATGAGATTGTTTAATAATTTAAATACAAAAACAATATCAAAGTAATCCCTTCTTAGTGCCAGTTCGAAAAGTTTAAACTCAGAGCGGATTCCAGGGTAGGCAGAATTCGGAGGAAGATTGAGTTTGTAGGAAAGTTTTTTTAAAAATTTGTTTTGTACAGATTGAAGAATTTTTTGATAATTTAGATAGAGTGGGTTCCAAACAGGTGTAGCATATTCTAGTATGGGTTGTACAAAAGCTTTATAAAGATGGACAAAACATAGAGGATTTTTAAATTCATAGGTGTTCCGGATATGATGAAACCTAGCATCTTCATAGATCTATTTTTTATTGAAGAAATATGTTCTTTAAACTTGAGCTTTTGATCAAAAAGTACACCAAGATCCTTTACGAGTTATGGTATGGGGTCGGAATCAGTGATCTTTGATTGTACTAAGGTATAATGAAAGACTTCTGGAAGCTGTGGTCCCATTTGCTCCATTTATTGGGGACGTGTTAATCCATGATAATGTTTGACCTTGTGTAGCTCGAGTTGTCACCCATTACTTGGAGGATGTGAGGATTAACAAAATGAATTGGCCAGCACATTCTCCTGGCATGAATCTTATACAGGGTGTCCCAGTTCCTTCTGACGAAACTCAGGGAATCGATTCTACTCTTCATTTGGAGTAAAAAATGCCCAGGAGCAAATTTTCAGAAAGTTCTCTATTTTGAAGATATACGTCAATTTAGGTTTTTCAACTTTTCACTACCTTACCATATAAAAACGCTTACAACTTCCAAAATGTTGAGACTACGACAAATCCAATTCATCAGTTGAAAGAACGCTAAAAATTTCTGTTAGATACTTCTCAACCGGTCAAACAAGTGTCAATTTTATTTTATAAAGCGAGTTCTAATTGATTTATTTCTACCCCTCTTCATATTTACCATTTATCTAGCTCACGTTTTTGAACATTCAATTGTTATTTTTCAACTCTACTAGAACGTTATTTAAAAACCTGGGTATATCAACGTAAAACATATTAGATGAAAAAGTTAAATTTGAGAAGTTGTAGGTATTTTTTTGTAACTTCAGTAGAATGTGCAATCATGACCAAAATTTGAAATTTTGACATGTTCCAACTGATATTGGCTAACATTTTATATCATTCAGATTATTGCAAACAGAAGTATCTTACAGCAAATTTAGCATTCTTTCAACTGGTGTAATTGGATTTGTTGTAGTCTCAACATTTTGGGAGTTGTAAGCTTTTTTTTGTGGTAAGGTAGTGAAAAGTTGAAAAAACCTAAATTGACGAATATCTTCAAAATAGAGAACTTTCCAAAAATTTTCTCCTGGGCATTTCTTGCTCCAAACAAAGAGTAGAATCAATTCCCTGAGTTTCGTCAGAAGGAACTGGGACACCCTGTAGGGCAGTTATGGGACATAATAAAGAGATGTGTTAGACATCTGCCGCTGCCAACAAGCATTGAAAAGTATCAAATTGCTCTTGTTAAAGAAAAATTCTGTTATTTACTCAATGCCTAAGAGACTTAAGTCTCTATGCGAGTCTAGAGAAGTAATGAAATAATTAAGTTGTTAGCTGGTCTTTTTAGAATAAGTTTTAGTTGTTAAAGGTAAGAACAATAAAATGAACATAGAAAAAAAGGCAAGGCTATAAATCGAAAGGGGTGATCACCCAGATGGGAACGTGATGCCCCCATCCGTCTGGGAAACATAACTGCAATAATTAGACAATTGGTCGACGGATGTCACAGCAACGTTCCTTACAAACCAGGGAAACAGCCCGCAATAATTACACAGTTGGTTAAATAAATAAGAACGTAAAAGGGTGTCTGAACCAGACAGGAGTCGCAGGGTGTTTCCTGCGAACCTGGAGAACAAAGTTGCAATAGTTATTTACATCAAGTAAATAAAATTGAGTTATTTAGTGCTGAAGTCACGAGGCCAAAAATATGTAGTGATATGGGACATCAATTGGGGTAGCGTTAACCTGGTCTTCGCCGGTTTACCCCCTACTCCGGGGTAGAGTCTCCAGTAGAGAAACATATAAAAAAGGGATGATTTGGAAATCAAAAACCACTCAAGACAAGACACCAGGCAGTGAACGGTCGACTCCGAGTCGATCCGGAAAAGAAGCAGTTGCACTCCATCTGGGATTCAGCTAGCCAGAGCCAGTGAGGACCATCTGTTGTGACTCATTGGATCAAGTCGACCGTCAAGAAACCAGAAAAGCACATAAGATGCTGATCACGGCAAGCGTCGTTTGGCTAAGTCCGTTTGTTAATAGATATCCCAGAATTAGAGTCGTGGCTAATTTTTTAGATTGATTAAGATTTTATAGCTGTTTGTGCACATTTAAAAGATGGAATTCTGTTAAAATAATTATTGAAGAAAATACTCTCCGGTTTATCTAATTTAGAACCTTATCTTCCACTATTTTCTTCCTTTTTTTTCTCTTTTCTGGTTTCCTACACAAAGTAGTGAAGCGACCAACTACTCTCTTATTTTCTTAGAGAAAACCAAGCAAATGTAGAGATTATTCGGCCACCACCCTTAAGTTATGTAATAATAATTTAGAACAAAACTAGGTAATAAATTGTTAGCTATATTTTAATCTATCACTAAATGATTTTCTGGTGTTTTGGTGAAGTTTCTTTCAAACCATCATAATTAAATAATTTTTAATAATACATTCGGTAGGATCGGGGTCCAATGAATGTTCTTGTGTTGAAATTACATCAAGCTTTCAGTGTTTTATTTCACCTAACTCAGGGCTAGATTCTCAGTCAGTTTTTAAAATTTTTCTTTTATCAACATGCATAAATTTTTATCTCTTTTCATCATTTCTTGTTTTTTATACTAAATACATTGTTTTTAATAAATAAATGGAATTTTTTTCATACTGATATCACAGACAAAATCAGAAATGAAACGTACAGAAATGTAAAAAATAATGAGCGTATTTTACAAGGTGAAATAATTTAGCAATTTACTTACGAAAGAACAAATAAAAAAATAAATTGAAAATGTATCGATCGAGCCTTGATATATTTTCTTTGTAATGCAATAAATCCTTGGATTTTTTCAATGCATTTTCAGAGGCGAGGTGGTTAAAATGGAAAAAAAACCTTATATAAAACAGTGATTTATTCATCAATCAAAGGTATAAAAACAAATAGAAATAAAATTGGCAAAGGCCGGAAATCGTTTTCCTTTCTTATAAACTTTGAAATTTAACAATACACGATAGACTTTCTTTTTTTTATATTAGTTTAATATATTCCTAAATGTTGAAAGATGTATAGGAAGATAAATACAATATCAGGAATGTTTAAAAAAAGTTAAAATCAGTTTTTAAGCGTATCTTTTGAACTTGTCTCTTGTGTTTTCACTTGAGTTCAATGTCAACAGTAATTTAAAAAAAGAAAGAAAAGAAACAGCTACAACATATTGACAGACTAGATTTTATATATTTTGTTTAAACACACTTTAAAATAAAATTAAAATACTATGGAATTAGTGGATCTGTTAAAAATGCTTTTTACAGATTTACTAATTTAGAGGGAAAGGGAAAATTAGGTAATATTATTATATATTATATATAGTATAATAATTGGAGTTTACAAATTAGAAGGTAGTATTGTTAGATCTGATTTGTTTGAGTTATCGACCATAACGTTTTGGTCGAAGAAAGACTGATTCATAGCGCTTCGACCAGTTCCCCAAAATACGCAGTAATCGCGATGAGCCTCTTTTCGAGGAAATTCTGTTCGATTTCGACCGCTCCTCCAGGGCCGGCAATCTGCATGAGCTGAAACGATATTAAATGTAGATTAAATACATCTCGAAATGAAAAATACGTACCTGATCGGTGTTGATATTTTTTGGGAGGAAATAGGCGATGTTGGGCGTGATGGCCAAGGCGGTTTCGAACAGCCTCTTCCCTCCTCCTTCAACCGTGATGTTGTCGAGGCAGAACGAATCGCTCGAGAGGTAACCCGGGCCGCCCCAGGGAGGCGACAAAAAGATGACATCCGCCTTCAAATACGGGGCCAGTGCGAAGAAGTCGCCCACTATAAATTCTATTCTATCCATGACACCATAAATGGAGGCATTATGCTTTGCCAATTCGACCTTAACAGGATCGATATCAATAGCGATGACTGTAGAGAAAAATTTAATGTATTTTTTTGAGAAGAATGAAACAATTGTAGAGTCTTAATTTACCCTTTTCACAAGTGAAAGCAAATTGAATGGCATTTCCTCCAGCTCCACAGCACGCGTCGATGATGAGATCACATTTACACCTTTCTGCGGTGTGCTTACTGACTTTTTCAGGTGTAACAGAGTACCAACTCTCTAAAATTATGTATAAATTAAAAAAATGAATGTTTCAATTTCATTTCGACTCACCTTTGTCCAACTTAATTCCCTGATCGTACAATGAGAAGAGACGGTACCTGTTGTACCAGTATTTCATGAGTTTATTATTTTCAAGCATTTCCTTTGGCAGGCTGTTCCTAATTTTTGTTTTCTTTTTGCTCATTTTTTTCTTTTTCTGCCTTTCTTTTATCTTTTGGCTGCCCCATTCATCCGCCAAGACGAAGTCCTCGTCTGAAGAGGAGTCGTCTTTTTCTGAAAAGTCATCCAGCTCGATGCGACACTTGTCGACCACGTAGGACTGCGACTCTTGGTCCGCGCTCGATGACTTGTCGATCACGAATCCGTTTTCGTCAAATCTGATATGCCTCGGCTGAACAGATTTCATATTCAAGGACCGATTCTGCGATCGTATGTTCCTCTTACGGTAAACGACATGGGCCTTTCTTATTCTAGACTTTTCCACACGTATTTCTGCCGGTTTAAAAACAAATCCCATAAGGGTGAAAGCGCCTTTGACTCTGTCTAAACTCGGGTCGTCTTTTTCATGCCTGTACACAAATTAATGATTAATTATTCAGATATCGATTAACGGTCACTAATCTCTACACATTAATGATTAACATATATTTTATATCGAGTCGTGCAACGTTAAATTACAATTCCTTAATTGGCTTTTTATTTCAAACTAATGCGTAGTTAAAAAAAAAAACTTACACTCGCTTTGAACCTCTTTTTAAAGGAATTTCAGTTGGAGGTTCTGAATTATTACTTATGTCTGTCGTTTCATCGTTATCTGGAGAAGACGAACTTGCTTTGACTTTTGCTTCTTGTTCCATGCTCAAAGTTTTTAAACTTCCAAGAAGATATCCAACAGACTGAGCTTCTCTTCTAGAAAGTGGGGAAATATTAACAAACATTGTGCAATTTATCTCAACTATTTTTATACTTTTTTCTAAACAAAATTAAAATTCTAATTAAGGGTAATTTATAAACCTAAATATATTTCAAAAACTGAAAAAAATCCATACTGTGACGAATGTATTAATTATAAACCTTCAAGTAATAATAATAATAATAATAATAATATATTTTTAAATTATGGAACAAAAATTCACAATTCTAATTAAAAAAAGAAACAGAAATAAATTTTATAATTTTATTAAATTTTATGCAATTTAAAATGGGAATTTTGTATACATTTGGCCTTCCGAATTAAGAATTTTAAAAAGAAAAATTAAAGCTTGGATGGCAATAGGATAAATAAGATTACGAGTGAATGTTTGGATAAACAGACATAAATTTTATAATTTTATGCAATTTAAAATGGGAATTTTGTATACATTTGGCCTTCCGAATTAAGAATTTTAAAAAGAAAAATTAAAGCTTGGATGGCAATAGGATAAATTAGATTACGAGTGAATGTTTGGANATGCCATTATTTGCTCTGATTCGAAAAGTAGTCTCGAAGCAATCAAAAATAATTTCTCGGTTGACCCTTACATCTTAGAAATTCACAAATATCTCTATGAAATCAGAACACTCAACAAACATGTGATATTTGTTTGGGTTCCTAGTCATGTCGGCATTTCTGGAAATGAAAAAGCTGATCAACAGGCAAGAAACGCTGCAAACCATCCACAAAGAACAGATCAATTTCCTCTCCGTCCAGATGATATAGTCGTTTATGTTAAAAACATTATCAAATGAAAGTGGGCAGCAAGATGGAATGTCTGTTAATAAGTGTATGACAGTGGTGTGTTGTGGAACCTAGGACGTCCCTTTGTCAGCCCAGTGTTTTTTGAAGTGTTTTTTGGTGAGGAACTGGATAAGTTTTTTGACGATTAGACAAGTCTGCTGGGTGCTAGTTTGTAGCTCGGAAGTGTTGGGAAGTGTGGGGCCTGAATCTCTCTAAAAACCTGGTTTCAGGGTTGGGCAAGATTTATTTAGTTTTTCTCTTTTTATTTAAACGCCATATATTTTTCAATATTTCCCAAAATCATTTGAAAGGCCCTTTCGGCCCAGTGGGCCGAGGTTTTCGAAATCGATTACCTCCTCTAAATAGGACTCCCTCTCCTGTTGTTTGTACGTCTGGGGCAAGACAATTTATCATTTGTCGATTGGATAGGAAAGATAATGGCGGCCTTCACTCACTATTGCCAATTAAGATATGTAGAGTAATAGATAGAGAAGTAGGGAAAGTAGTAAACGTCAAAAAAGGCCATGACGGTTTAATTCATATTGAAGCGTTTAATGAGGAACAAGGGGATAAAATATTGAAAATTAAAAGTATAGAAAATATACCGGTAAAGGTCGAAAGAAATGTTAAATTGAACACCTCAAAAGGTGTAATTTCTTGCTGGGACTTGAAAGAGTGTCCCGATGAAGAACTTCTTGAAGAATTAAAAGGTTCTAATGTTACAAACCTTCATCGATTAAAAAGAAAAGATGGTAGGATATCTTTTTCATGGGTTGTAACTTTCAATACCCCGTGTCCTCCGAAAGAATTGCATGTTGCCTATATGAAGATAGCCGTAAGGCCATTTATTCCTGCTCCCCTTCGATGTTTTAAATGTCTAGATTTCGGACATACAATTTCTTTGTGTAAGAAGAAGGTCTTTATGTGTGGATGTGGGCTGGAAAGGCACGAAAAGACTGTTCCTTGTCAGTCTTCAGTGTGCATGAATTGTCAAGGCTCACATAACACTTTGGCGCGTCATTGCCCAAAATATAAACATGAAACTGAAATTTTGGAGCTGAAAGTGAAAAATAAAATAACGTTCAATCAAGCAAAGTCCCTAATAGGCTCTGGCCTTATTCAAAAAGGGATTACCTTTGCCGAAAAAGTAAAAATGGGCACGAAAGAAATAAGTTGTCAGACAGAACAACTCACTGAACGTAATCAAAAATATGTCATCTTGCCAAAAAGAGTCAAAACCAAAAATGGTAGAAACCATGGTCCAATGTTCCCTTATGGATCCCCCTGTCAATGTTTACCTCCCCCTTCCCTTTTACCACTCAACTCTCCTCTCCCTCATTCTGCTTCTCTGATTAATGGAGAACATCAAACAACTTTGTCCCCAACAAATCCCCCCAAAAATAAGAGGGGCTGGAAAAAGGGGAGGCCAAGGAAAATAGTTGTAGAAAATCTTAAGTAGTCAGTTTAGCTGACTCGTGTTAGGTAGAAGGTTGAAATTTTAGATTAATATGGAATCAATCATCCAATGGAATGTGAGAGGACTGAAAAATAATTATTGCTTTTTGAAGAGGATCATGGTGGACCATACTCCTTTTATCATTGCTCTTCAGGAGACTCACCTTAAGAAAACAGAATCCTTTATGTTGAGAAGTTACAACGTTTTTTTCTAAAGAGGCTGAGGTTTCTGAAGGAGGTAGAGCTCATGGGGGCGTGGCACTCTATATTCGTAATAATATCCCTTCTAGGAAAATTGACTTAGGTACCAATCTCCAGGCAGTAGCCGTTGAAGTGCTTGCTCCGTTAAAATATTCTGTATGTTCAGTATACTTTCCTAATAACTATTTTTCAGAAGAAGTAAGAAATTTATTTTCGCAACTTCCGTCCCCTGCAATGATTATGGGTGATTTTAATGCTCATTCCATTACTTGGGGATGTTCATCAAATAATCGAGGAGGGATTGCTTTGGAAAATATTATTAATGAGGAAAACTGGATAATACTGAATGATGGAACACACACTCATCTGAATACTTATACCGGGTCAGTTAGTGCAATAGATCTGACGATTGTTTCTCCGTCCCTAGCGACCAATTTTGAATGGAACATCCTAGAAACGGATGTCCAAAGTGATCACCTTCCAATAAAAATAGAATCCCATATTCTTAAAATGGATTTTGAATTTTGTCCTAAATGGAATACCCGCATGGCAGATTGTATGCTCAAATTGCCCACCTCCTAATAATGCTTTATTGAACTTAAGAAAGGAAAAAAGACAATTTAGATTTCAAAGCATTTAAGGACATGGATCTTGGATCCGTCTGCCAGAGGTCGTTGATTAAACAATCAGAAATGAAAAAATACACAATGAAATAAAATAAAAGTTATAGCCTAGGCAATAAAAAGAAAAAAAGGAGAAATAACAACTGTTAAAATGCAAAAGAGAGAATAGAAAAACAGGTTATACAATAGAAATCAAAAATTAAACTCCTTAAATAACTCATATCTGTAGTTCCATGCCTAGCGTAAAGAATTAAGGGCCGCGAATTTGAGCCACTCAAAAACCGTAACAGGTGAGAGTGAAACATCCAAGATGCGAGATATAGTCAGTGATACTCCCAGAAGTCACAGAGAATAAGGATTTTAAAGAGTTGACCATCTTTGAGGAAAATCCTAAGTCAATGAGTTTTAAAAACAATCCCCAACGATCTACACCATCGAAAGCAGCTCTCAAATCTACAAAGAAGCAATACGTCTTCTGTTTTGGTTTCAATAGTCTTAAATTGATTACGTTGGCCCATACTGACAGATTGTCACTAGTTGAGAACCTTTTTCTAAACCCTATTTGACTTTCACCTAGAAGACCGTTGGCATCAACATAAACTTCTAACCTTCTGAGCAGTAAGCGAGAAAAAATCTTGGCAACATTCAGACATGAAATGCCTCTGTATTTAGTAGGATCATTTCTATCCCCTTGCTTAAAAAGAGGGAAAATAATCGATTCGCCAAATGAAGAAGGGACTGAACCATATTCCTAAACATAGTTATAAAAACAGCGATGTTCTTGGAATTGCCGTGGAGCATATTTAAAAAACTCATAAGGAATTCTATCTGGGCCCGCTGCCTTGTGATCTTTTAATTTCTTTTGTACCGAGAGTAGTTCCTCAAATGTGAATGGTGCGTCTAGAGAACAGTTAAAAATCATAGGTTCTGCATAGAAGTACAAATTTTTGTCAGTTTTTAACGGATTCAGAAGTAGATGAAAGTGCTGAATCCATGCATCAAAGGATACCTCACCACAAATGAAAGTCTTTCCTTTAAATCTGTTCATCAATTGCCAAAACTTCTTTGAATCTTTTACCGCTGCTAATTGTGAGACAGCTCTTGTTTTTTCTTTTAACAGAGATTCTTATAAAAACCACTCGACCTCATATAACTTTGTCTCACCATTTCAGAGTCCGTTTTGCGAAACAAATTCAAAAGAGCAAACGATTTCTTCCTGGCACAGTGACAAACTTGATCAAACCATGGATTTTTTTGTTCATTTTTGATCAATTCAACTATTCTGTCATTCCCTGCAGACCTAATGACGTTTATAAGTACATTTAGTTGGTCTCTCTAACTCCAAGTATAAAGATTGTGAAAACTGCAAAGCAAGGATTCAGGGCAATGGGATTTTTTTGATGATGTAACTAAAGGACAATTTACAACAAACGAAATGTGAACTGATTAATCATTGTGCTAATTTGTATCAAACTCTGTTGACTTTTTAGAAAGAAATTAAAAATAATGAGTTCTGTCAAGTGAGTACTTCACCAGAGCAGAGCATATTTAACTTTGTGGGGAGGATTGACCATTTTTGATCTATTTTTACCCTTTGTATTATCCCAGAATTCTTAATTATAGCACATCGCAATTAGCACCTACTATTAAAAATTATTTAAATTCACTAATTTCGTGGTCCGCTTGATCAATTAAATCATTACAATTAATTAAGGTTTTTAGTTGAGATGAAAAAAGCTAATGGCACGAGCGGGATTCGAACCCACGATCTTCGGCCGCTGCTCTACCACTTGAGCAGCTTTTTTTCATCTCAACTAAAAACCTTAATTAATTTTAAAAATTATTGTATTACAAAAAGTACTTACATGTTAAATTTACGCTTGGCTTTTTTTGAGTCAGATGAGGTAGAAGTACAATCAAACTCGACATCAGTAATGTCTATGTTTTCTTTGTTCTCGTCTGAATTGTTTTTTTCAGAAATTAACTCTGTGGATTTGCTGCAGTCGATGGAGCCATTCATAGATTTTGTGGAACTTTCAAAAACATTGTCATACGTGTCAGAGGGAATTATTTCATTGATTTTCGCAACGAACGCATTGTAAGATGCGATGTACTGTTCGTTAAAGTGCTCCTGCCAGAGATGTTGCCACTGTTGTTCGTTCGACGAGACAGAGTCCGCGGACGAGGAGAGGAAGGAGTTGGAATTGCTCTGACCCGACGATTCCTCAGGACAACTCAGCTCCGATGAATAAATGGTCATGGGAGTAACATTTGTCAGTGAGTCGGTGAGTAGAGAGCTTTTGCCTGATGATCTTGAGCAAGATCGTAGTCTGAAGTACTCATCACCATGATCCGATTTCTCAGACGTTTCAGAGGAATTGTCTATTTCCTGAACGTCATGATATTCCTCATCCAAGAAACCAGAAAATGATTTCTTCCCGTTTTCGCATCCTGTCACATTGAATTGAGTCTCCTCAGGATCTGCTTCCACTGCCTGCACTCCGGCTAGATAACAGGGATCTATGTAAGCCCCGTACTTCTTTATCCAGCTCTCCCAGACGATTGTCTCCCCATGTGTCGCCCAGTAACGCTCCCAATCTAAGTCTCTTGAGCTCTCGGAAAGGTCGGCTCCCGAATCAGAATGGAGCGCGTTTTCTCTTACGCTGTCGTGCTCGTCGGTCGAACAATGCGAAGCTGAACAGTAACAGCTCAGCACCTCCTCCTAAATAAACACACACAGGGGAAAAAAATCAAGAAATTCATATAAGAAAAAATCAACTAACCGGCATTTCTGAATTTAAATGAAATCAACTAGGAACACATCAGAATGGGGAAGTTACTAAATTTCCTGTTACAATGACCGGGCCACTTTGAATAGTTGCCAAGCAAGAACTAGAATATGAAGTCCTTGAACATTCAAAACTGACACTTTCATGGTTCTGTGGAGGATGGGAAATTTGGCTACTATTCAATATAGGTAGTTTCAGACAAAAAAGAAATACAAAATAAAATAAAAACATTTGTCCGTTAAGATTATTCAATAGCAATAGAGATTTACTAGCTTCAGTATGGCAGGGTCACATCTAAGGTAAAATCTATTCATTTTTATTTTATTTTAAAATTTCAGCTATTTGATCATAACTGTCTGTATTATCCGTATTTTGACATCTACTTTAGTCAGTTGACAAGAATATCAGTGACAAATATAAAAATAGTGACTGCTTGTGAATTAACAAATAAATGCAATTCAGGAAGACTATCCAACTATTTTACCCGCATTGAATATAAAATTACAATTTATTAGGCTAAGAACCACAGTATCAACAAGACAATAATAAAAGTAATTTGAAATAAAGATATGCTTAGACAAAAAACAGGAAAACTAATAACTACCACAAAAACTTCATCCTTTATCTCGAGCACCACGAGCTACCAAGCCAAATAGCATGATTTGATATTTGATTCTATTGGAAGTACTTTATAAAAACATATTCCAAAAAATAACTTGATTATGACAGATGATGTCATAAAATGCAGGCATGAAAGAAATACGGATGAATCATGTGAATATCCGAAATGATAAATTTGTTGTTTACTAAACGACAAATAGTAGTCCTATGATGGGTAAAACTATTATGTATTTGTCCTAAAAATGGGAAAGTAGCATAGGACACAACATTTTATTAATTGGGGATAATACGTCTGCTTTGCAGAATTGGTGATATGTGGTCTGGTCCAAAATCGGTGACATTCCAGGAGGAGGGCTATGTAAAGAGATTGTTCTTGTAAAATAATGTGAAAGAAAAAGGATTAGAGATCGTGAGATGCGGTCTGGTGTGACGTAGGTTTAGAAAAACATTTTCTCTATCGTGCTAGCATTTTCCAAGCCCTGAAGATGATCTCAATAAAGATTGAAATGTTGTCACGATAAAAAAAATGTGTGGTGATTAGTGACCGTTAATTGATATTTATTTAGAAATCGTGAGATGCGGTCTGGTGTGATGCAGGTTTCAGAAAAACATTTTCTTTATCGTGCCAACGTTTCAATCTTTATTGAGATCATCTTCAGATCCTGGAATTTACAAACATTGTTTACATATTACAATTACATTTTTGATGTGGAAAAGATAATTTATACAGTGCAAAATATATTTTATATATTCAATCAAAGTATTTCTACTCACTCAAAGTGTCTTCTGTGTAATTGTCCCATTCTTGCGTGTCGTGTCGAGAGTGCCAGTGAGATTTTGCTATTTTGTGATTATACGTTTTGCATTGTATAAATTCACTTTTCCACATCCAAAATGTAATTGTAATATGTAAACAATGTTTGTAAATCCCAGGGCCTGAAGATGATCTCAATAAAGATTGAAACGTTGGCACGACAAAGAAAATGTTTTTCTGAAACCTACATCACACCAGACCGCATCTCACGATTTCTAAATAGATAAAAAAAATGTTTTTCTAAACCTACATCACACCACACTGCATCTCATGATCTCCAAATAATCATTAACTAATGGTCGCTAAACACCACACGTACAAATTTTAAATGGCAGGCGCAATTTCACGGAAGACAATTTAGAGAAGTATTTGTTTATTAACATTAATTATACTCAATTAGTATAAAATAAATAATTTAATTATGTAAGTGAAAAAATATTTTTGTTAAAATGTAAATAAACTTTAAGGGGTGTCGGTGGCTGCAACGGTTTGGGCGTTGACATGGTGCTAATCAATCTAAAGTAAATGTCCCGGGTTCGAATCCAGCAGCCCTGCATTCGAACCCGACATACTTAGAAATGGCCTTTTTTCAAAAATACTGGCACCCTGAGGGTTCAAATAATCTCGTAGTTGAGTACCCTCATTAAACAAACAGAAAAACACTATATACTTTTGTGTGGTGATTAGTGATCGTTAATCGATATTTATTTAGAAATCGTGAGATGCGGTTTGGTGTGATGTAGGTTTCAGAAAAACATTTTCTTTATCGTGCCAAAGTTTCGATCTTTATTGAGATCTTCAGGGCCTGGGATTTACAAACATTGTTTACATATTATAATTACATTTTGGATGTGGAAAAGTGAATTTATACATTTTTTCCCTTCGTCGGCTCTTTTCACCTCAAAGAAGCCGATGCCTTATACAAAAATGTCTTTTCTATACTGACATCCTTCCCCACCCCTTCAAAATCCAACGTATAAAAACACAAAATAGCAAAATCTCACTGGCACATGACACGCAAGAATGGCACAATTACACAGAAGACAAACACTTTGAGTGAGTACAAATACTTTGATTGAATATATAAAAAAATATATTTTGCATTGTATAAATTCACTTTTCCACATCCAAAATGTAATTGTTATATGTAAACAATGTTTGTAAATCCCAGGCCCTGAAGATGATCTCAATAAAGATCGAAACTTTGGCACGATAAAGAAAATGTTTTTCTGAAACCTACATCACACCAGACCGCATCTCACGATTTCTAAATAAAAAATTATATACTTTTTTAATTATTTTTAATTTTAAAGAGTGCTAATATCTATTTCGTTTATTATCTGTATTTCTGTTTAAAGTTATGATAGTAAAATAAAACTTGGTTTACTGCGTATTATTGTATACTGCAGGGCTTTCAACTGCGTACTTTATGGCATATTTTGACAATTTTTACTGCATAAAAATCCGGTGTCTGCTCATTAGGGTACTCGTGTGAATATTATGAGATTCAATCAGTAGAAACACTATAAATAAACACATAAAATGTAAGAAGTCAGCAGTATCAATCTATTAAATTTTTGTGCTGATCCGTGTACAAATGTTTGCTGAGTCAAAAGCTTTATCGGGTCCTTGAGTCAATTGGTCAAAAATTGTAGAAAACTATGGTGCTGATTTGTTTCGCTTACGTGTTCTTTTCTTTTGATCTGGACCTGAGGCTGAGGTTGGACGACCTCCTGAATGACAGCACCTTCGAAGTACTGCTCCTCCCGAATGTCGGTCAGTTCGTGTGCCACTTCCTCCTCTTCTTCGTTCCTGGCCCTGTCACGATCAAAGCTCAGAATCCCGTTCATGGCAATCATAACGCAAAAAAAATGTCAAAAAAAGAAAAAATTAAAAAAACCTGATCACGACACGACTGCAGAGGCAGTAGATGTCCTCGTTGGTGTAGCTGTCACCGACGCTCAGGTAGACTTCGGCCAGGGGTTCGTATGAGTTTTCCTCGAGCATATTCGGCAGGAAGAGACCTCCAAGCCGATTGATCTAGCGACTCATAAGAATTTGACTGTCTTTTTTTACAAGCCACAGATCGCTCCGAGCACGAATCCCCTGGTCGCCAAACGTAATAAGGTTATGGGGAGGAGTTGCCACTTGCCAGTTGGTTCCAACTTCGAGGGCACAATCGAATCATTTCCAATTCAAAAACTTTGGCGCCACAGTCAGACGCCACACTTCTTTTCACCGAGTTTATATTTCGAAAACACTTAAAACAATTCAAACTTCTGATATTTCAAATCCAATTAAAGACATATATTCTAGAGAAAAAGATGAAAGTATGTCTCTACATCGATCTCTACCTACCTGTTAATCTATATTGACGAACGCTCTGGAACAAGGTATGGTCTTTTTTGTTATTTTTTATTTTTATTTTGTTATTTTATTAGCAAAAACTTATTTCTTAAAAACAAAGAGAAGAAATATATATACAGTACAATGCTTATAATTAATTCAACATTAATAAACAATAAAACACTACACTACGCATCAATGAAAAAGACAATAAAATCCTTACAAAATTCAACAATATAAAGATTTAATTAAACACCCTGTCTATGTAATAACTACTAGGATTAATTATTATTAAAAAAATATAAATATATAATTATTGTATTATATTATTGTATATTATATAATATATAATAAAGCATTACATACAAGGTAAATTTTTTTTTTAAACTAAATGAAATTATTATGCTTTAAGTAACTAATGTTTTAATGAAGAAAGACGAGTAGTAAATAAATCAACAATATTGCATATTAATCCATTTATGTTTAGTGGTCTAATTGACTATATTAGTTCTTTCAATTAATTATTCTTTTTATGTAAGGTCTTGGTTGAAATGAAAAAGTTAGATTCACGAGAGGGGTTCGAACCCATGACCTCCGGATCGATACACATGACTTTGAAAAATGGCAAAAAGAGGTAAAATGTGAAAGGTTTTAGGTTGAGGTGGGGAATTGGTATCGTAGTGGATCGAGCTCAAGTGGTTAGAAAAGTGGTGTATTGAGCCAAAGGTTGTGGGTTCGAATCCCGCTTGTAACACTAACTTTTTCAACTCAACAAGACCTTACATAAAAAGAATAAACCGCAACTCTCCAACTCCATTCTTCCTTTTTCACAGAGTTTACATTTGGAAAACACTTAAAACAAGTCGGAATTTTGATATTTCAAATCCAATCAAACATTACAACCAAGTCCTTACATAAACAGAATAATTAACTGAAATAATTAATATGGGCAGTTAGACCACTAAACATTAATGGATTAATATAATAAGAAAAGAAGTATTCACTTCACTAACATCTCACTGTGGCCATTTTCATAAATCGCTGAGAATCGAATCCTGATTACACGACATTTGAAAAATGGCAAAAAGAGGTAAAATGTGAAAGGTTGTAGGTTAAGATTGGTATCTGAGTGGATCTAAGTCACAGTAGCTCAAGTGGTTAGAGCAGCGGCGTATTGAGCCGAAAGTCATGGGTTCAAAATCCGCTCATGACACTAACTTTTCATCTCAATCAAGACCTTAGATTAAAAGAATATGTAATTGAAATAATTAATATGGTCAATTATGACTGCTAAACCTACAAGGATTAACTTAATAATTAAAAAAGTAATTACTTTGCTAACAGCTCCCACTGACCACTTTATAAGTCGCTGAGGATCGAATCCTGATTACACGACATTTAAAAAAGGGCAAAAAGAGGTAAAATGCGAAAGGTTTTAGGTTGAGATGGGAAATGGTGTTTGAGTGGATCGAAGTAACGATAGCTCAAGTGGTTAGAATAGCTGAAGGTTGTGGGTTCAAATTCCGCTTGTGACACTAGGTTTTTCATTTCAGCCAAGGCCTTATATAAAAAGAATAAACCGCCACACTCCAACTCCATTCTTCCTTTTTCACAGAGTTTACATTTTGAAAAACTTAAAACAAGTCCAAATTGTGATATTTCAAATCCAATTAAAGATTAGACCTTGTATATATTCTAGAGAAAAAAATGGAAGTATGTCTGTACATCAATCTCTGCCTACCTGTTAATCTGTATTCACGAACACTCTTGAACAAGGTTTGGTTTTTTTTAATGTTTTTTTAAATTTTTATTTTACAGGTCAAAAACTCATTTCTTAAAAAAAATATAAAAAATAAATAAAAATAAAAAAGGAGAAAAAAAATATATACAATACAATGCTTATAATTAACTCAACTCAATTTATAGTATTGAAAAATACTATAAAATCCATACAAAATAAAACAACATAAAAATTTAATTACACCCCCTTGACTTCAAAAAATTGCAAAAAGAGGTAAAATTCGAAAGGTTGTAGGTCGAGATGGGTAATGTCCGAATGGATCGAAGTAACGATAGCTCAAGTGGTTAGAGCAGCAGTGTATTTTCATAGTAAATCTATTGATGATCACCCTTTATACATAATATACAGCAAACCTAATTGAGGGTCAATGGGGTACTCGATATTCCGCCATCCACCCACTTACATCACACATACACACTAATAAATATATTCACTCTTAACACAAGCTAGATATGCACAACTATTATTACTATATACAATAGAACAGTCCCGTTTTCTCCAAGAACAGGAACAGGGGAACGAAATACTTGCTGTTGTGCTCAGGCACAATTTTCAATTCTTGTGGCATTCCTGCGCTCTCTCTATATGGAGCCAAGGTGTTGAACACTTCAATTAAGTGGGTATGGTATGGTGGAAAGGATACTAGGAAGCGGGGTTTGTATTCCCCAGGCACTGCAGCCTTCTGGCTTATTGTACCTTTCTAGTTCCTTAGTTCAGTCAATAGACTCAATCCTTCTTCTTAGAAGTATCAGGTCATTGACTGGTGTTGCTGCAATTTGATTCCCTAAGTCTTTTCCATACGTTAGGTTAAACCTTCATTGAGCTGTTGCTTCGCATTCGAAGATGATATGAGTGGCTGTTTCCTCCTCCTCATTACAATTAGGTGGGACACATTAAGGAACCTTTCTCTTCATGCCAGACACATAAGTGGGCTGCGCCCCAAAAGTAAGTGTCCATGTGTCAACCTCGCATGACCTATCCTTAATCGGAAGATGCAGATCTTCTTAGGGCTACCTATTACCAGAGAACTTCTCTGTTGATCCGGCCAACCCCTAACCATCCCTAACCATCATTTAATCATGTTTTTTATTGCATTGCACTTTTAAGAAGTGTCCCTATAGGGTCTGTTCTTGGACCTACCTTATTTAACATCTTGTTTTAATTATTATTAAGGCAAACAACCATGATAGGTCAAAACCGCCTTGATTTTATATGAGGCAATGAGAATGAAATATTCTTGAGGGGCAAGGACATGAAAAAGGGTATGCTCCCACACCAAACCAGACCCCAAAAGAGTAAGACACATAAACCAACTTTTCTGTACAGAAGACTTCAGTAGTAACAGTAGTTAATCTAGGTATAAGCTTATGTCACATCAATTTCCTAACTTCCTAACATATTTAATTAGTAATTATATAATGAACAGGAAATTCATTGTACAGATTAATGGTATAAGATTAAGAAATATAAGAGCTAGGGTCCCCCAAGACTCGGTACTCGGAGCAATCTTATTTAACATTTTTAAATGACTTTTCCAAGCTAAAATCTACAGTTGAACTGGATAATATTTTGCATATAAGCATGTAAACAAGAAACAAGATATCTGTTCTGTTTTTAAGATTATTTTAACTTTCATCAGTCCCAATAACACAGCATATTGATTTGTCATTGTGAAAAGCATGTTTTAATGTTCTAAGTGCAAAGATCCCCTGAAGTTGGACCATTTGAGAGAAATCTTGCCAATCTCACCAACAGGAAATCATTTGTACAGATTGACTTTTTTATTAGTATAAATTAAAAATTGTCACAACGGTCACAGAACACATGTTGGACCCACATTGGTTTATTCAACAACAAAAGTATTTATTTAATTTTTTTAAAAAAATTTATGAGGATATTTCAATTACAAGGTTATATACCCTCTGAACTCCTAAACCACCTTTACAGTGATGAGCACTGTGTCAACTCCTAAACCAATGTGGCCACTGATGCCCCTGGACATTCTCAAATAGAATCATTAGTTTTTCTTAATAAATCACTGGTCAACAGGTCATTTCTGCTAAACCATAAAGTATATAAAATCAATTTGCCCTATACAGGAAATAAAGTTTTAATGTTCACAAAATATTCTCTACTCAGCCACTACTTTAGAAATATTGAACTTGGATTTACATTTTTGAAAACAATTCTTTTTTAAAAACAAACATTGGCCAAATTTTTTCATTGCTTTGAGTGTTAATTTGTTAATTAATTAATTTATTTTTTAATCCACTCAGTTAGTATTTCTAACATTTTGTCATTCACATTGGTCAAAACTTGTAAAATATTCTTATTAGACCCAAGACTCAACTTTACTTAAAAAAATTGTTTTAATCACAGTTAAACTGATAGGCACTTGATCACTACTGGGTCTATCTTGCAAGTTTAGATGTCATTCAAATGTGTTTCATGCCACCATTCATGTTTCATTATACCACCTCTAGTCATTGAAGACGTTGTACGTCGAAATTCGTTGACATCTAAATCTGCAAGAAAATAGACAGACCCAATAGAGTAATAAAATGCTGATCAGTGTAACATGTGATCAATTCTCTAAATTGCTACAATTTTGTAGTAGAGTATTTGGTTAAAATTTGAAATACAAACTTTGCCAGTAAATTCTACTTTCAAAATGGTACAAAAAAGTCCTAATTAATTATGGTCTGAATCTCAGCAGTTTCAGAGTTATTCCACTTTTTCTGATTTGTAAGATTTCATGACCTTGCTTCAAATAAAGGTGATAACTCCAAAACTAAAAGGTTTTGGACAAATCTGTTGATACCATTGAAAACTACGTTAAATTTTCAATAAGATGTGATCAATACTAAACTGTAAACGTTGATAAAATGAGCGTTTTAGTAATGAGAACTTTGGAAAATGATTTTTTTTTCAATGTTGAAAAACTTACTATGTTGATTCTATACCACTATTTCCAAACCTAGCGACCAGCAGACTTCAGAGAATGTACTCCATTTAATATCCTTTTTAGTAGTGTAATTGCTTTTTTTAATTACTTTTTTTTAAAGATGAAGAAATTGATCAGGGAAAAGAAAAAACCGTGGTTCCCTGATCAATTTCTTCATCTTTAAAAAAAAGTAATTAAAAAAAGCAATTACATTACTAAAAAGGATATTAAATGGAGTACGTTCTCTACTTCAAAAATGAAAGGTTTTGGACAAATCCGTTGATACCATGAAAAACTACGTTAAATTTTCAAAAAGAGATCAATACTAAACTTGTAAACGTTCGTGAAATAAGCGTTTTAGTAGCGAGATTTAAAAAAAAAAAAAATTTCCAAGTTGAAAAAACTTACTTTGGTAATTTTAAACTACTATTTCCAAACCTAGAGACCAACAAATTTTAGCAAATGTATTCCATTTAATATCCTTTTTAGTGGTGTAATTGCTTTTTTAAATTAAGTTTTTTCAAAGACGAAGAAATTGATCAAGGAAAAGAAAAAACCGTGGTTGAAGTATTGGTAAGGTGGAAAATTTAAATATAAATCGTTAAGAAAATTTTGAATTAAATTATTTACTTTTTTAAAATTTGGTTTCAAAACTGCAATACATTGTGGAGGGTGGTGAGCATTTAGAATCAAAATTAAAAAAAGTTTAATAAACTCATTCAAAATTTCCTTAAGTTTTTTTATTTTATATTATTATTAATCTTTCCACCTTACCAATCCGTCAACCACGGTTTTTTCTTTTACTACCCTTTTCATATCATTGTTTCGGTCAACCACTTCCAGCAGACGGTGACCGGATGAGGTTTAGGGCATTCTACTCCACTTTAGATGTACTGTCACGTCACTTTTTTTAACACGTCGAGCTGACCACCCTGTACAGGGTGTGTCAACTTCTAGAGTCCACCCATTTAATTCGAAAACGATTAATTTTAGCATTTGTCTTATACAAACCCAAAGTTAATTTTGGCTAGGATTTGCGTGGTAGTAACAGATTTAACGTAACTTTGTGTGTGTGTGTGTGTGTGTGTGTGTGTGTGTGTGTGTGTGTGTGTGTGTGTGTGTGTGCAAACTCTATCAGAAAGAGTTGTAACATAAAAGCAAAGTGCTGTATTTTGTTGAGGGCAACAGAGAAAAAATTTCATAATATGTAAGTCTATATTTTTTTAAAATAGATAATACATTAATATAAACAAATAATATATACAAAAATTGTTTTAATTTTTTCTTTTTATATATACAAAATATCTCCAAAAAAACAATTTTCCAAGACTTATGCTTAATGTTTACTTATTTTATTCAACAACAAATGACGAGACCTAACTAGAATTTAACATGACACTGCATCAGTCTTAAAAGCTAAAATTGCGTAAAAAATATTTTAAGGCAAAATTGGTAACATTTGACAATAAAGAAAATCTTATTCAGGTAACGTTAAACCAGATTTTGTTTTTCACGATCCCACCCGGAAATAAATATCAATCAGTGTTATCAGGGTGTACACTCTTTAATTTAGTCTAAAGCTAAAATGTTTTCATGTGAATAAATAAAAATTCTTCTTGTATTGTGTTGCATCTATTATAGAGCTCTTCCCTGATGGCGATTGTTTGTACATATTAGAAATAGGTGAGAATCGTCAAGTTATTTGACTCTCAGGAGCTTCTTTTTGTCCGGCTGAAAATAAAATACAAGTTAAAAATTTTGAGCCAAAAGTGCTTATCATAGTGCTTACGGGAAGGATGCTGAAGCAGCAGGTGAGATCTTCACTGACGGACATGACTGCTCCGGCGTTATCAAATTCGCCACAGTAGTTGGCAGCTGAGAAGAGCGTAAGGAGACCTCTTTTGGAGAAGAACTGGTAGCCGTCTTCGACGACTTGATGGGCTCTGACTATGAGTGAAACTCGATGCCTCCTCAGGAACCACCTTACGACATCGGTTCCAAAAACGTAGCTTACACCCCTATCATTCTGTCCCCAGCCGACGACTCTCTTAATAAAAACATCAATGAAACATTTAATACTGCTAAAATAAAAGCAATAAATACTTAAGACATTGTGTAATATTACCTCATCTGGATCACCCCAGAGAAGATCACATACGAGTCCACTTTCTGGTACATCAAGCGGCCTAGGAATTTTCTTAATCTAAAATAAATTTATGCCTATATCACACTATATTATTTTATTTTTTACATATAAAATGTTTTCATGTGAATATTATAAAACTATTATCACATTTTTTGCTCATTTACCTGATTTAAATCGACTAATTGTGGTGATAAACCTCCGTGCATGCAGAATATTGTACTTTCAATTAATGCAGCTGAAAAAAAAGGAAAATATTTAAAAAAAGATCTAATAACAAAGAAGAAAATGTTTAAAGTAAACTCACCAACAGGAAGACAATTGAAGAGATCGGTGAACGTTTTCCACAGTTTGACCGTATACCGTCTTTTGCATTCATCGTAGAAACCGTAAACCCTGAGAAAAAGTGATCGGTTACAATTCTGAATATTGTGAATTCATGAGTGTTGGTACCTGTTGATTGAAGCGCATTCGTGATTACCCCTGAGGAGGAAAAAATTGTTGGGGTACTTAATTTTGTAGGCTAGTAGAAGGCAAATAGTTTCTAAGGAGTTCTTTCCCCTGTCAAAATATTAAATATTATTAAAAAAAAATAAATACAAACTAACATAAGTGTTATTAATAATCATTTAAAACATGATTTATTGTAGTATTTTTTGGAGATTCATACCAATGAATTGATCAATTAACATTTTATTTTTATGCATGCTTATAATTATATATAAATATATTATTTATATAACAGGCAAACTTCTAAAAATAATGAAATGCCAAAACACACCTGACAAACAAAATCAGTTTGATCTCCATTGATCACATCATCACAATGTCATCATCAATCATCTCAAACTCAGAAAACATAATAAAACATCAGGATACCAAAGCCTGATTAGATTTTGATTGGACTAATTCTTCTATAACTTTTTTTATTATTATTATTGCACGATGGGATCATTGAAAGCTCTCTTCTGTCTTAAATTATAAATTATTTAAGATAATTGTTTTTATTTCAAAACAGCTTTTATTTTCAGAATGACATTTTAAGCCTGACTGTTCTCACATGACCAAATGGATACTTCTTATCATTAATCCAGGCCTTAGCTTTATGCAAGATAAAGGAAAAAAAAATTACGGATTGTTTGGAGGCTCTGGCAGAAGTCAGTGACAACAATGACCTGACTCTGGCATGGATCACTGGGAATTCGGGACATAGAGGCAATGAGAAAGTGGACAAAAAAATGAGCCAATATGAATTATCTAGATGCTGAACCCTACTGCAGCCATCTTGCCATAAAAAAAGGACACATACAAAAGTGGATCCTTAATGAGCTAAAAAAAGACCCCAGGCATGGGGCATGCGAAAAGATTCATAGAAGGGCTAAGCGCAACTTACAAAGAAATTACTGGAGGGCGACCATAACAGAACAAGGATTCTGATAGGACTCCTGACTGCTGCCTAAGAAGGCACATGCACCGGATAGAACAGACAGAAGAAATACTGTGCAGATATTGCCAAAATGAAGATGAAACCGCAGAACAGGTTTTATTTTTGTAGGTGCACATTGTTGCAACTAGGAGAGGAAAAGCCACGAGCAAAATCCTACAGTAAGGAGCAGCTTGCAAGGCAACCTGATGTTGGCCAGTGAACTATAAAAATACAGGTAGACAATAGGTCTATTCAGGTCGAAGTTTAGAAGGTCTTGTGCTTCTTTTATCCCTATTCCTACCATTTATCCAACAAACAGAGGGTGTATGAGATGTGAGAAAGTAACAATGGTAAACTGTTTAATAATATTGAATCTTTCAATATTGTTATGATTTCAATTAATTATTCTTTTTATGTAAGGTCTTGGTTGAGATGAACAATGTTGTATCACGAGCAGAATTCGACCCCACGACCTTTGACTCAATATGCTGCTGCTATAACTACTTGAGCTATCATGACTTTGAGCGAGTCAGACACCAATTCCCCATCTCAACCGAAAACCTTTAGAATTTTATCTCTCTTTGCCATTTTTCAAATGTTGTGTAATCAGGATTCAATTCACAGCAACTTATGAAAATGGCCACGGTGAGCTGTTAGTGAAGTGATTACTTCTTATTATATTAATCCATTTCTGTTTAGTGGTCTAATTGCTCATAATAATTATTTCAGTTAATTATACTGTTTATGTAAGTTCTTGGTTGAGATGAAAAAGTTAGTCTCACGAGCGGGATTCGAACCCACGACCTTCGCTAAATACGCCGCTGCTCTAACCACTTGAGTTATCATGACTTTGATCCCGTCAGACACAAATTCCCCATCTCAACTTAAAACCTTTCACAATATACCTCTTTTTACCATTTTTCAAATGTCGTGTAATCAGGATTCACTTCACAGCAACTTATGAAAATGGCCATGGTGAGCTGTTAGTGAAGTGATTACTTCTTTACTTATTACATTAATTCATTTAAGTTTAGTGGTCTAATTGCTCATAATAATTATTTCAGTTAATTAAGGTTTTTAGTTGTGATAGGGAAAATTCAAAAGGTGGGGTTGAGATGGGAAGTTAGTGTCCGAGTGGATCGAGGTCACGATAGTTCAAGTGGTAGAACAGCAGCTTATCTAGCCGAAGATCATGGGTTCGAATCTCGCTCGTGCCATTGACTTTTTTCTCTCAACTAAAAACCTTAATTAATTGTAATATATAAATTGGTCAAGCGGACCACAAAATTAGTGAATATAATTATTTCAGTTAATTATTCTTTTTATGTAATGTCTTGATTGAGATGAAAAAGTTATTGTCATGAGCGGGATTCGAACCCACGACCTTCGACTCAATACGCCACTGCTCTAACCACTTGAGCAATCATGACTTTGATCCAGTCAGACACTAATTCCCCATCTCAACTTAAAACCTTTCACATTTTACCTTTTTTTGCCATTTTTTAAATGTCGTGTAATCAGGATTCGATTCTCAGCGATTTATGAAAATGGCCACAGTGAGCTGTTATTGAAGTGATTACTTCTTTACTTATTATATTAATCCTTTCATGTTTAGTGGTCTAATTGATCTTATTAATTATTTCAGTTAATTATTCTGTTTATGTAAGGTCTAGGTTAAAATGAAAAAGTTAGTGTCATGAGCAGGATTCGAACCCGTGACCTTCAGCTCAATATGCCGCTGCTCTAACCTACTTGAGCTATCGTTACTTTGATCCCTCCGACTCCAATTTCTCATCTCAACCTACAACCTTTCGAATTTTCTCTCGTTTTGCCATTTTTCAAAGTCATTTGTCTTGTTCCGGAGGTCGTGGGTTTGAATCACTCTTGTGATACTTTTTCATCTCAACCATTCAATAATTAATTGAAATAACTAATTTGGTCAATTAGAGCACTAAACATAAATGGATGAATTATTACAATCCTTGACATGTTAGGACTGAGTCGGTCTTCAAGTCCATATGTAGACATATTTAAGATTTTTTTGCCCTGATGATGACTTTAATATAGGTTGAAAGCTTGGCTGAAACTGAATTTTCATTTTCTTCAAGACCATACCTTGATCCAGAGCGTTAATGAGTGTAAAAATGGATCTAATACTAAAAATATTGAATCTTAACGTTTTGTACAGTTCTGTTTGTGCCAAAATCAAACATTTCGAAGATGGCTTTTTGCCATGGATGGCTAGTTTATTTCGAGCTTTTGCCATCTGCAATCTTTAGGCCTGACTGTTTTCCCTTGGGCGTATTAAAGCCCCATCACAACCAGATTGCTTTCTTCAACCTTAAAAAAAAATTATAGATAGCAATCATATTTATACAATGATGACGGCTTGATATGGCAAAGCTTAAACAAGTGGCTAATTAGTGCCTTTTCGTATGACTTGAGATGGCTCAAAATTTAAATGTAATAGTTAAGAAATTTAAATTTCAAATTTGCCGCGACAGTATTTCACCTAGCACGCAGTGTTACATTTTTTTTAAATCCGATCAAATTATGAGTATTTCTCCTTGCCGTCCATCCTCTTCGCCCAAGACGCTGCGGTAAAATGTCAACTTATCAATAAGAAAAAGCCTCAGGCATACTATGAATATAAAATCGTCTTTTGCATATAAACAACCCATGCGTGATTATAATTTACAGCCGGTGATATCGCAAGAATCGCGAAGCCCGGATTTGTGAGGGGCGAGAGGCGAATAAATAATTCCACCTTCATTTCTTGACCTTTGAGTTTCGTCCCAGGAAATCGACTGATTGACCATAAAAAGGGTCGAGTTTACCTCCTTTTGGGGCGAACTTAAACAAAAAAAATATATTTTTAAATATACCGATATGGAGTACTGATAACTGACGAAGAAACTCGCAGAAGTCTGATATTTTGGCTACACTCCCAAATTTTAGTATTTTCGCCTTACTCTAATTCATTTAGTCCTAGAAAGGTATCGCTCAAGTCTTGTCTGCTCCACATTTTATCGATACAGTTTTCAGGGGTTTTATATTGAAGAACCACTCAGAATGAGAGAGATATTGTCAAAAAAAATGAAGTTTGCCCTCGGTAAAATCAGGATGTTATATGAATTGCTGAGTGAGCAGAGTTGAATAAATAAATGGTCATGGAAAGGAAAAAGAAAGTGAAAGGGACTTTTGATTCCGAATATTTCTAAGTATCTAGCATATGACGTCTATTCTAAACATAGGACAAAATAAATAAGCTTTTATTTGACCGTTATCTGGCTAGCCACTGTTCAACTATCATGTGGGTGCTGTAGTGCTTGCTCTGAATCTCAGCAATCTTTTAGACCTGGAATATGTACTTTGAAAAAAAGCCTACACCATCATCTCTTTTCTGAAGGTTATAACGAACGTCCACATCTAAAAAATACACTCTTTGGGACTCGAATGTTATCCTTAACTAAACACACATACATACAGGACTCTTGACAACGCCACCTATCTTTTCCTTGGTTGGACCTGCTGCCGTCTGTAAAAATCAAAAGAACCTATTTTCCTTGAGTCCTATTTCAAGCAATTATAGTACCTAGCTGTTTGCAAGTAATGAATAATCAACCCATTTTTAAGAGAGTGTTTTAATGGTTGTTCGTTCATATCCAATTTCTGCTCCGCAAGCATTAAACTCCCCTATGGTCGTTGATAGATTTTATTCCAGCGATCCAAATTCGTCTTGGTTCCTGGACATAGGGCTTGTAACCTAGCAGATATAATTGCTGAAGAGGCTATTTTTCATATTAAAATGTTTGTATAGCTAAAGACAAATGTATCTTGGTGTGCATAAGCTTCGTGAAATCAAATAACCACATCGATTGGAAAGAAAAGAAGAGAGGAAGGATTGAGAACCAGGCTTTGTAAAGCTACCAAGGATCAACATCAACACACTGTTAACGTCAAATTTGATGAGAAATCAACAAGAAACCTGCAGCAGATCATAACATAAAGCAAAATATCGCTAATGACCACAACATGCTCTAACCTCTAGATCAACCTTGGTGACTAATCCCGAAAATGATCTATTGACTCTACAGATTGTCTTTTTTGCGCTAGTAGGCTTTCCCTATTTATA